TAATCGATATCAATTAAACATAGTGTAAAACAAAAATTTTGATGTTTCCATGATATATGTATACTGTGAAAGAGACCCCCCGAAACATATACGTACTTATGAATAAACAAATATTAGCTTATGGAATTTATATTATATATAATATATATAATATATAATATAATATATATAATATTATGGAATATGAAAATTAATTGTACCAGTAATAACATGTTTTAAGCATTTAACCCTTTTTTTTAAATAAATGTTTACAAAAGGTAAATTATACACCTACAGTGTTCATAAAAGGACAGAGGAAATTCTGGTAGGTCACACAATCAGGATTATTATACTCGTATTTTGCAATTATTGGTCTGAAGGCTGAAGTATCTTAAAACTTGTGATATACAAAAAGCATTTAAGCAGTTAAGAGTCATAAAATTATATTTTTGTGGGTCTATTGCTAATTTTTCAACATTACAAAAATACATGATAAGTAACAATATACTTGCCATGTTTCACCTCGCAGTACCAAAGCGATTTTAAAGACATGGTTATCTGTAGAACTATTAAAACATGAATTAATTGATATTTAAAATTTCATTTGTAATTATCGTGAAGTGTGAAAAAGAATGGCTTGTCTCTTTTTATTCATGTGTCCAGCGAGGTCTAGAAGATAATTGATTTTGCAAGCCAAACAATGGGCCCTAATTAGAGCAAATTAAAAGTTTAGCAATAGAAACTGAAAAACGGTACATAATTTAGAGGTTCATTTGATTTATAAATTTATATATTTTTCGTATTGATGACGAAGATCTTACTTTGGCGCTAATATTTTAACCGTGGCTGAACTATGGCGCTGATTTTTTAACTGTGGCGCTACAGAATTTAACTGTGGCGGGGTCGCTACGTTAAACGGCCCATGAAGAACCCTGAATGTTTATTGGATTATGGCACATTATAAATATTGATCCACTAATCGCACGATCAGCAAATCTCTTTGTAGATAAAACAGATGGAATAGAAATGTATAAGATATATAAAAACACATCTGTATCAAACTCTAAAGCGCACATATAGTGATATTATTGTACTTTAAATTACATTTTAGCATCTTTGGATGTGTCACGTGATGGCATCTCAAGCATTCACTCTACTTGTACACTTCAGCCTACTATTAATTAGTTTTTTGATAAATTCGAACTCAGTTTCCTGCAAAGTCCACTGATTTGTTGATGGATCCTGTTCCGAAAAATAAGCATGGAAAGGACTAGAAGCCGTATTTAACACCTGCTTGTGTTTATAATTCTCCCCGACACCAATGGAGATTAGGGAAATTCCATCCTTTGTCATTTTTTCTACTAAGCTAACAGTCTCTGTCATTTTGATATCTAATCCGTTATCGACGAAAACAACATACTTCAAAGCGTTGTCTCTAGCCCCCTGTCTGGTCGAAAACATTTCCTGCCGGATAAACCGAAGAGCATTTGCAAGATTTGACGAACTGTTACGGTTATCCTGCTTTGAGGCTTGAAAAGTACTTGCAAATGTATCTAAATCGGTCGTAAAATTCAACGGCAAAAATGATACTGCGGTATCAGAGTAATGAACGGTACCCATTTGCACATACTCAGATCCTAAGAAAACAAATTCATCCATGGATTGAAGAAGTTGTATAAAAATACCTAGACTGGCTTTGTAAGTAGTCTGCGATTGAATGGTTGATGTGTCGAGAGCAAACACTATATCACTATCCCTTCTTACTTTGCACGCTGAAATAAAATGTGGACTTTGATCATATAAATTATTCAAATACTTAATATTCAAGCAGGTCTACTTCAGAAGGGAGTAATTTGGAATCTATTCTTTTCAAAGGGTATTGATCATATAAAAATGTTTTTGCTTATTCTAATCCATACCTGAACATCTTATGTTTACAGTTCTCTTATATACTTGATGCAGAGGTTCCATATTAATGCTGGGATAAACATCGCCGAATCGGTGATCCCCGGACAACTGCCTAAATCCCTCATGTCTTACGTCATCACCAAACGCCACCAGGAAGATGTCATTCCACTCATTAGATCTTTTCAAGACATTTCTCAATTCGCTAATGGAACTTACTGCAGCACTCAAACTTGATGGCATGCCATCGGTGAAGAAAAATACGAACTGAAAAGCACTGGGCGCTAATGTCAATATCTTTTTGACCTCGATACAAGCCGATGCTATGTTTGTCGTTCCGTTGACAAAACTGATGTTTTTAATTAAACTAAGAAGTGTAGTTTTGTTTTCATAGGAGTCAAAATCGATGTCTAATGTTGCCTCTGTACCATATGAGATTACCGCTACTGAAAATTTGCTTTTAGAAACTGTATTTCGTGAAACAATGTCCGTAATGTACTGCAACTGTTTTCTGAACGTTTCTCCTTCTGAACTATAGGAAGAGTCTATCACGAAGATTAACTTGGTGGGGTTTGTTTTACAAAGATCTGAAATATTTTAAGATTAGCAAAAGATTTCAGCAATCATTTAATTTGAAAATTATAGAAATTGTCGTGTGCTTCATCACTTTTAGGTTGCTTTGAGAATTTAAAATTATTTTTCATACAAGAATTTAACAATGCATTGAGCTTGAATCTTATGAATGACATCTTTATACCTACCGTTTTCACATAGAGGTCCATCCCAGTCATTCACACAATTACAATAATACGATCCTGGGATATCAACACAAGAACCACTGTTCTTGCACGGCTCCAACCTGCACTCAGTAATATCTGTCCCAAAGAACATTATTAAAAACTTCACTCGACTCCTGTAATTTTATAAATACAGATATGCCAAAGCAAAGCACCTACATGTATATATATTCCCAAAATGTTTAAACCGATGTACATAGATAGAATTTGAATACCTAGGCATATTTCAGTGTATGTCACACGTACCTGTATCACAGCGTGGTCCAGTGTACCCAGTGTGGCAAATACATCTATACCCACCATCAAAATTGTAACAATCACCATTGTTACATACAGGGTTTCCTGGATATTGATATTGACGACATTCATCTACATCTGAATAAGTATATACCGATATCAGCTGGATGTATACATTTATAACACTTAAAATTTTATTATATATATATATATATATATATATATATATATATATATATATATATATATATATATATATATATATATATATATATATATATATATATATATATATATTCTTTGCAAACACAATATGAAAGAGAGAGAGTATACACATAATATTTCGTCGCCCGCGTGGCGCATTGGTTAGAGCGTCTGCTCCAGTGTCGCGGAGTCAGGAGCTGATCCTTACGTCGCGGGTTCGAATCCACTGCGGGACGTGGAGACCGGTCCTTCGGAAGAGACCGTATAAACCGAAGTCCCGTGTCGCATTAGGTTGCATTTAGCATTGCTAAATGGAACTGAGTGCCGAGTATAGGTATTAATATGCAGCTCTCCACCGACAAGTGGTGACGTTAAACAACAAACACACAAAACAAATGTATCATACCTTCAGTACATACAGCTCCTGTCCAGTTTGATGTACAAGTACATACAAATGACCCCATTGTATTAGTACAGTTCCCTCCATTCTTACACGGCTGGAATGCTACACATTCATCAATATCTAAAGAGTACATGTGTATGAATTATAATAATTGCTCTAATATTCAAATGGATTAGATAAGAAAATATTATGCGAGGGGTGATCAAAAAGTTCGCTAACTATCTCTATATTTACAAAACCACAATTCAGATCAAAATAATATTTGGCACACATATATAGTCATAATCAAGCCATTGTTCTATAAAAAGGCTGATGATACGTTATGTTTGCTCCATGTTTTGGACGTCACAATGCGAAAATGATGTCAATGGTTGCTTCAGTCGTACTCGAGCAACGAACGGCTTTAAAATTTAACGTATATCTTTGAAATTCCTTTGCAATATCATATAACTATTTGTAAAGTTTTATGGAGACAAAGGACTTGCCAGAAGTTCAATCATTAATTACACAGTAGATTGATTGTTTTAGCGAAGGAAGGGAGATGGTTAAAAATGATGTTTGTTGTGTTGCCCAGTGAAAGTAAGCTGGGGGAAGAGATGTGTCCTTAGTTGAGCAATTTGTTACGAAAGATCTCCAAGTTACAGTTAGGAAAATAGTTATATATCTCGACAATAATACAATTATTTTTTGAAATCCCTGAAATATTGTTTTCTTTAGACTTTAAACATATCAGATATGATAAAAAGAAGGTATCCATACTTTATCCACAATGGATAAACGAAGCACCCAAAGCAAAAGAGTCGGGTTGTGATGGTCACCATTCTCATTCTGGGAAGAAAAGATACTTAGTATCCTTATCCACCAATCCAATGTGACAAATGGGCTATTCTTGTTTAAAAATAATTCTTGCTTGATAAGAAATATAAGACTCGGAAAAATCTTTCAACTTATGTGAACAGAACGCTCCGGAGCATGTCACGTGACAACCTGGATCACTCTTGGGCAGAACGATGGCTGATGTGCATTAAAATCAGAGAGGACTACTTTAAAAAATAATAAACACTGACACCTAATTTTATTTCTTTTATGGTCGTACTTTAGTTAGTTCGCGTACATCAGTACCAAGACAAAGAAATGTGTTTTTCTCCATGGAAGTTTACTTACGTGCATATATTTTGATCTCAATACAAGGAGTTATGTTTTACATCTTTAATAATCAACCATCTTGCAAACGACATTATTTAAGTGCTTAGACTTCAAATGATACGCGGTTACCTTCGCCACAGTGGATACCCTGGTGACCCTTTGGACAATGACATTTGTAATTTCCACATAAATTCTCACATTTTCCTCCGTTAAGGCAAATTCCCGGATTCTCAATGCATTCGTTCACATCTGTAATGAGTTAAACGTAACAAGAAGGTCAAACAAAAAATGCGTTCACTTACATTCACTGTCTAACAAATAAGTCTTACCTTCTTCACAGTATTCTCCCCTGAAGAATTTTGTGCAATGACATTCAAAAGAGCCGTTGTTGTTTATACATGTTCCATTGTTAGCACATCCACCAACAGTGCACTCATTTATATCTAAAAGAAAACTACCATGATTAATTATGAAATACATGTATTCTTCTCGCCATTTTTCTTGAAATTTGATCGGAAATATATCCTCAACCTGTTTTGCATTTATTTTCTTGCCAGCCTGCTCCACTTGAGCAATAAATGAAACGCAGCTCCCGCCATTGTCGCAAGTCTCCTCTTAACATTCATCAACAGAATTTCGGACTAATCATGTAAAAATTTTACAGACTTTTCATTGGTTATAACATAGAAATGAAAAAAAAGTGATTGTAGAAAAGCAGAAACCTACCCAGTTCACAGTTTGTACCGTTATATCCAGAGGTACAAACACAATCATTTCCTCTGACCAAGTTTATGCAATAACCACCATTCTGACAGGTTTCGTTTTCACATTCCTCAAAATCTATGAATGGGATTAAACTTGATATTTATGCATTTATTTTTTTTTTGTTTCCAATAAAGAAAAAAAGTTTTAAGCACTTAAATTGATTCTGGTGTTATTTTTCGGCTCAAAACTTGAAGGCAAAATAAAAAAATACCCATAAGAATAGTTTTCCACATGCAGCGATGTACAACATAAAAATGTATTTATTGACATTAAAAATCATACTCTCTCCCCAAGCATTTTTGTATTGCAAAATGGTACTAGTATATAATACTTTTAAAATTGTGGACATGTGACGATACCTTGGTCACACTTCTGTCCAGTGACTCCATCATTACAATGACAAAAGTATGAACCAGTAGTGTTTGAGCAAGTCCCATTCAATCCACATATATTTTGTTTGCACTCATCTATATCTGAAAATAGAGATTCTGATGATACATTTCTTGAACCTTAACCTTTGACCTACTTTTCAAAATAGATCATAGTTTCGATATACAATATATTTTTGAATTTAAGAGGTAATGCTATGCTACTAAACGTGTCCACTGTTTGTCATAAAACATTACGAAAAATACCTGCGTTACAATCCATTTTACCTTGACCTTTTGACCAACTTTGCAAAAAATGTCCTTGGCAGTTTAATTTAACTTAATCTTTTGAATTTTGAGAGACAAGATTTTGATTATAAGCATTTACACATGTTTATGAGCTAATGATGCTGTACTTTGAAACTGTATGATATTCAGTAACCACACAAACTTGTATTTAAGAGCCATTCTCTGTAACGAATTTACTCTCTTAGTGTTTTAGTCTTATCCTATCTTTTTAAAAAGCATATTTCTATATAACTAATGATCAATTTTTAAAGACGTTCATGTGACCCTAATTTTCACATTTCAAAAAATTCAAATTCAATTCTTTAAATAGAGCGTTGCTATGGAAATAAGTCGAAAAAATACGCATAAAAATCTGAAAAATATTCTGTTTCCTTGGATACGTACCCTTGTATATAGATTCCCAAAACTTTTATGATTGATAATTATGAACAACTAACCTGACTTTCAATTTTGACTGCCACCCAATCTCTGACTGGATGCAAAAAGCTGGCACATAGGGTTTAATATTGATATAAAATTCACAAAATCGAACATTTTCCCTTCTTGGTTACCATAGCAACAGTGTTGTATTTTTCAACAAACTTTATCAATATATGATATTCAACTTTAGTTCTACCAGATAATGACTATTCAAGGTGATTCAAATAATATATTTCTTGAATAAAAGATAAGTAAATTCCTAAGGCAGCAAAAAAAATATCACTTTAAACAACTGGTACATTGTTTCCATGGTTACACTGCAAAGTAACAATTAATCCCAATTTTTCTTATGTTGTCGGTATTGCAAGGTCCTAGGGATGTATTTGTGCCAGTCATGAATTTTATTGTTTTTCCTGAAGATAGCAGCATTAACCCAATCTTAGCAACAGATTTTGCATGGTTATACTGTGTTACCATGGCAACCATGAAAGTTATTTTTAGAATAATATTGCCAATACCTAATTACTTAAGGTCAAATATTTTTATTGTTTTTTCTTCGGTTGTTTATTGAGTTTGATCATTTAACATCTATCATAAGTGAATATTGAGCGTTTTTCTGCATTTTTCAGCATCTAAAATGTATTCCAAATGTACCCATGGTTACCACTTACTTAGAGATAAATTCTAAAAAGTTTCTTTATAGCATAAGTGGCAACAAGGTGTCAGGTTTTTGAAAGAATGGTTTGTTTGTTTTTCTTAGTCTTTATTAAGGCTTAATAAAGATTCAAAGTAGCTGAAAATCTCAATTTTTCTAACTTTTCTGGCTGTTACCATGGCAACCGAGATACATAGCAGCGAAATATGTTTCTGGTGTCAAGTAGTAATAATGGGCAAAGTTTCATCAAAATCGGTGACCATGCGTGGCAAAGAAGTTTAAGTGGTTACAGAGAATCGCTATTAAATACTATGAAAATACATCAGGATTATAGTGTAGACTGACAATTGCAGTTAAGACAGACTGAAATAATTATTTCTAATAATATTCATTTGAGGGTCGGGGAATAATATTTCTTTGATTCTCAGATGCTATCGTAGTCTTATACTATCCGTGGATGATCTTTTTCTTTGCAGACAAATGCATGAACCATTGTTACAACGCACTTTGAAAAATTACGCACTTTGAAAAAAAATTTCGAAGTGCGTTGATTTTGGGACAACGTTAACGCACTTTGAAAAAAATTCTTTTCAAAGTGCGTCAATATCGACCATATTGACGCACTTTGAAAACAAATATGCACTGCTTGGTCAATATTCTTGCAAATGTTAGGTATGATAAATAAATATTTGAACTTGGTTGGAAAACTTTTCGATGATGACGTCTGGATCTGAGATATAAACGTTTTAAAGATTTTTAGGAGTTGTCTTGTTTGCAAAGGTTCTCGTAACTGTTATAAAAGGGAAATGGGTCTTAGAAACAATGGAGGAATGATTGTTTAACAGCACAGTTTCGTTTCTTTTTTTCTTTTCTTTTTTAAATTTTATCCAGTCTCTAATAAGTTCGGTAGATGTAGGTGTCGATAAGTGACTTAAAGCATCGCAGGGAAAAGGGAGCAATTATGATTTTTCCATACCATGAAAATTCTCTCTCTCTCTCATCTATTTTTCTATCATATTCATTTATCTATCTGTTGTGAACATATGCGAAATAATGGTTGACTCATTTATTTGATAGTAAGAAAATAAAAATTAGCCACATTACTCACTCGACTGAAATTTTTACCTCGTTCACTAATAAATTTTTCTCAAAAAAGTTATGCAGTCAGATTACTTATAAATCTGTAATTTGATATCACAAAAACTCTAAACATGTCAAATAGCATGTTTTAATTACCATGTAAATGAGGAATCATTGTGGATACATTTTGAATAAAGGTTATGCGGCTCATAGGGTGCGTAATTTTTTTTTCAGGAAAGCTTATCTCAATTTTTTTCATCTATTTTACGTAAACTCAAATTTATTGAGAGAAATAATATCAATGTCATACCAGTTATGTAAATACATATATTTGTGTAGGAAAGATACAGAGTTGCGCTGAGGGACTTTCTACCTGTCTTCTCCTCGTTCTCGATGAGGGTAGATCAATTCATCAGTTTTTCGGAAGAAATATAACAAATTAATGCTGTCTATTATTAAAATCTAAGTCCGAAATTTTTGTTTTATACGCATTTTTTCAAAGTGCGTTATGTGTCTTCATGGTAAAAAATGTTGATGTACACTCTTAACGCACTTTGAAAAAAAATTTCAAAGTGCGTTGATTTTGTCCCAATTTTAACGCACTTTGAAAATTTTTTTCAAAGTGCGTAATTTTTTTTCAAAGTGCGTTGCCACAAACCATACGCTAGTAGTAAAAAAAATAGCTGACACTTTTAGATTTATTTACATCTTTAATGAAGCTACAAAGCAGGAGACACAGGGGTTCCTTGGAACACTCTAGTTTTTACACTAAATGTGCCAACAGAATATTCCGTCTACTTGATCAAACAATAGGGCTCATGGCGGGTGTGACCGGTTGAAAGGGTATGCTTACTTCTCCTAGGCACCTGCTTCCACCTCTGGAATTTCCAGGGGTCCGTTTTTTATGCCCTGTTCACAGATTTGTATTGATTTTAAGGTTTGTTTTTTTTTTTTTTTAGATCGATCACTGTTCGTAATCTTCACCTTTTTCATTCAAAAAAAAAAAAAAAAAACAAAACAAAACAAAAAAACAAAAAACTAAAGCCCTCACAAAAATGGTGATTTCACAGTATATGCATTGGCTGCGGACATGGGGCCCGTTTTACAAAAGAACTTACGACTAAGACCAAAAACTTCAGTTGATTGTAAAATTTTGCAAAATTAATTATTCTGTATAAAATTGATAGCGGAAAAGTATCTTTCTACATATTTTTAAAAAAAAAAATATTAAAACCATTTTTTTTAAAGTGAATGAGAAAGTTATTAGCAGATTTAAATTTTGGTCTAAGTCGCAAGTTCTTTTGTAGAATCTGGCCATGCTGTCTTGATAAATATTGCTATTTACAAAAAGAAAAGAAGCGGTTAGTGAAAAAAATACTTGTTAAGTTTTAATTAATTAATTAAAAGTTACATTTAATACTAGTGTAAATGGAAGTCAAAAGATACATGTAGATAAATGTGAGGATCAACCTTAGACTTCACTTAGTCATGAATCTGACGTTGCACGAGATCTATGCACGGCGGAAAGGATAAGGAAATAAAATTTGGAACACTTCATCATTTTTAGACGAATATTTTTTTCGTTTCAATATTTTTTTTTTATAAATAAAAACAAATAAAATGATAACGCACCATTTTGACATAAGGCTCCCGAAAACCCATCACGACAACGGCACAGAAAATAACCAGGTAAGTTGACACACACTCCATCATTTTCACAAGGCAATGAATTGCACTCATTGATGTCTTAAGATTAAAAGAGTTAATAAACAACAAAAGCAACGACAACATTTCCCCCATTCAATTCATTAATGATGCAAAAATAAAATCTTCACATAATTCATATCAGTGATTGATTCTGATTTTAATTACCCTTTTCACAAATACTTCCGGTCCACCCTGGCTGACATCCACAGAAAAACGAGCCTGCTGTGTTTGTACAGTCCCCATTACAACACACCGATGGCGAGGTCAAACACTCATCGATATCTAATACAAGAATTTAATAATAAAGGATTTATTTTCGCTATACTTTAGAGTTTATTACTTGTTCTCTGTAAGAATGCAACTATTTAAGAAAACATAATCTCAGCATAACACAATTTAAATTCTTTAAGTAATTCTGAAAGTCGATAGCAGTATAATTTATATTCCATTGATTGCATAAATACCTTGCCGGGTTGATTAAGCTTGTTTTTTATCATACAGGCAGAACCAGTAACACAGTGTTCAATTTTTAAAAAATGTCATTTAATAAAGACAAATATAAAACTTGTACAAATAATGACTAGAAAATATTGACAAACAAAGAGTATCTTCAATAAGTATTATGCAATCTGACCCCCAACAAACATAACCTAAACTTGCAATAGAATCAACTTCTCAATAACCTACAAAACACAACCTGCCTGTCCACAAAAAGGTGGGTTATCTAATAAATAAAGGCCACAAATCCAATGGGATATTGGATCCACCCAATCTATTTTACGTTAACTTTTTACTGTTGGTACAGATTTTCTGAGTAATATACAGTTGTTTCTTTTTAAAATAAGTATTAGCTAACGACTGGAAGTCTGTCCATACTGTACCTCCGTCACAGTGTTTGCCAATCCATCCATTATTGCAGGAGCATTGGTATGATCCGGGTGTGTTTTGACAAACTCCATGCTGACAAGGATTGCTTAGGCATTCGTCTATATCTGATTCAAAGTTACAATTTACAAAAGAGCATTATATGATTTAAATGACATTTTTATATCAATTCAATAATGTAATCACCTTTGCTGCAGTCATCACCAGTAAACCCTGTTTTACAGTTACACGTGAAGCTTCCCGGGGAATTGGCACAATCTCCATGGATACAAGGGTAGATTGGCTTATCAGTACATTCGTCAATGTCTGTAGAAAAGAACATTAAAGACTTATTTTATAAGAAAACTCAAATTTTATCGTAAACTTTTGATGACACTCACCCTTATCACAGTGTAATGATGTCCAACCAGTAAAGCAGTTACAGTGATAAGATCCAACAGTATTTATACATAACCCATTTGCACAAGGTGAAGACTGACATTCATCAATGTCTGAAATAGATAAATAAATTTATTGTTATTTTTAAAACATGATAACCCATTTCAGAACTTTTTATAAAGTACTGGAAAATTTGAAGAGGGGAAGGATGTTGAGTGATCTTTGACTATATGTGCCTCTATTAAATAAAACACAGCCATATAGTAATACTTTATCATTCAATGTACATAAGAAACAGAATATCTAGCTTAATGAAAAAAATGAAAGGACTTCTTGTGGCTACAGTTACTTTGCCACATGGAAAATACGTCAGACTTCTTCGTTGGTATGCCTCTCTTTCTTGCAGCATGCTTTCTAGATTTAGTCCAAGAAGAGTAAAAAAAAAAGACATAAAATGCATATCTTGACAATCACCTGAATGAAGAGTGCTCTTGTGCTGTATTAAACAAGAGATCAACATACATGTTTGCATTCTTCATTCGAGCTTTTGTCCAGATATATATTTTTAGAAACTTAGAAATGAGTCTAGTGCAAAAGCACGAATCAAAGTCCCATAAATGCTTTATACTTGACTAACACAATATAACAATTACAGAATTTCTTATCAATCTCACCTTCACAAAGACCATTAATAAAATGTTGAAGTTTGTTATATAAATCGTTGAAGTCGATGGTAGTCACAAGGTAATTAGAGTCAGGGTCACTAGCAATAATTCTTAGTTCTGTCAAGTTTACAAATCTTCCAATACCAACACAAAATACTTTAGTGTCTGTGCGTTGAAGACTTCCTGCTTCGTCTATGGTTGCCTTCCAATTGTTTGAATGTCCATCAGTTAAAACAATAGCAGCTTTGGCGGCATTGGGACGACTATACCTGGTAATGATCTGAGCCTGTCTTAAACCAGCTGCTGTATCAGTTCCGCCTCCGGCGTAATTCGATTCCATATTTTGCAAAGTATGACGTATATCTAAGAAGGTTACATAGTTATAAAAATTGAACACAAGGTCTGCATAAAAGCCAAATTTGATCATAGCAACCCTCATATCACTTGGTCCAATTTTAAAGTTTCTTAGTAAATCTCTGACAAATCTTAGCATCTTCTTGTAGTTTGCAAATCCAACGCTTCCAGATTCGTCCATTACAAACATAAGATCAACAGGTGCGCATTCTAATAAAGAAATATAAAAGTTAACACAGCTTACCATGGTTGTCCATATGTTTACCTTATCGGGAAATAAGACAACTCTCTGATTACGTAAACTAAAAAGGTTAGTGAAAATTTTTATTTTCTTTGTGTCCAAAATTTGCAAGCACTATTTAAAGTTTAGTATTGAGTTTTTGAAAATTGGTCTCCCAAAAATTTTCATTGATGTCAAAGTTTTAGAAAAAATCCAAACAAGGACCTGAATATGCGAGGACATACTAGTATCTTAATGAGATATGATATGATGGGTGAGAAACCTAAATAAGTGTACATATATCATAACTTACTCATTCCTGCCGACCTCCGTTTTCGACGAACTTGATAAGATTTTACTGTGAAAAGAAACAATAAACATGTGTAATATCTTGTAATATAGCACGACCCTTTGTGTGCACTATATTTAAAAAAGTTTCAAAATTTTATAAAAACATACTGTATATTGACCAGTAAAAAATGAGTGATTAAAAACATACCTCTATTTACACAGGTGAATAGAAAATCCCCACAGCAGTCCCCTAGCTCTTGACAAGCATCATCACAAAAACAATGGTCAGTGTGTCCAGTCCGTGAGTGACAGGTCCTGTTGTGTCCAGTACAACACAGCCCTGCCTCTCTACAGCTTTCACACTCAACCAAAGCAAAGAATATGATCACCAACACTATCCCCAAAACCACCTGTCCTAACATATTGATATCTTTAGAGTTCTTTAATAAAATGTTCCACACTTCCCGGTTATCTCAAATTCTTTTTTGTTTTATTTATATACTGCTATAAAAGGTCGGCAACTCAGAATTGCTTTAACTGGTGTTATAAAATCATCAGCAAACATAAAGTGCACGTTGCCAAGAAAATTTGTTTTACAGAGTATATGTTTGTTGAACTCATTTTTTAACAGCACACTTTCACTATGTGCAAAAAACAATAAATTAATTGATATGCACAAACATGAATTTTGACTTAAAAAGAAATCAAAGGTGTAGAAAGTATCAATGTCGTTCTAGTTAATGAAATTTTAAATCAAATACTGCTTCAGCTTTGACCTAGATTGCTCGATTGAATTAGTTTTAAGCATGCCAAGATAAAATATTTTAATCTTTAAAAATATTAATCATATTTTGTTGTTCATTGGGTGAACAAGAAAACCCAAATTGTGCAAAAGGTGGAAATGCTACTCTGGTTTAAACAGCGGATATAAAGCTATTTTCATCCAAACTACGGTGCCTGTCAATGTGACGAAGAGAGAGACTGCTGTGGCGATTACATTAATCACTGCACCAAACAGGTCACACGTTCTAGTCCTTTAAAAGGTATTTGCGGTTACGGAAATAGCCAAGTATAGTTGAGATTGGTACTGCACAAGTTTAAGCTCCCTCAATATTGTCTGATTTTCTCTCTCTCCCTCTTATTTTAAAGACCATCCTTGTCTTTTTTGCTGTTCATGTTTATTTTGTGTCATTTAATTATGTTCTCTACAAGAATGGAGCTATTTGAGAAAACATGAACATTAATAGTATATATATTCATTAATAGTATATATATTTCAGATTAACAAAAATTCTTAAATTAGAAATAAACAAGCTAATTCGGAGAATTTGTGTCCCCCGCTTAGAGAAAAAAAAAGAAGAGCATGCGTAGTTCGGGGGTGGGGGGTGGGGGGGGGGTCGGACTACCCCCCCCCCCTTTGATTTGTAGAATTATTAAATGTATACATGTATATTGAAGCAAATAAAAAATGCCAATATGGATATAAGGATGTCATTGCTTATTCTTTAATATGTGTATAGAAGATTCTTTTTGAATAGTATATTTATCACACTATATTAATGATTTTGTTTGTCCAATCCAGAAGTCATAACTTTTTCATTTCACATGCTGAATCCTATCATTTATGTAATAAATCAAAAAAAAAAAAATCAAAAAAAAGGATCGACTGGGATTTGAACCCGGGGACCCTCACATGCTTAGCGAAAGTCATACCCTTAGACCACGGAGACACTTGATTATACAGCAAATTAAATGCAAACATTAGGTCACATAAATTGTTTATATTCACGTTCGATATTGTCAAATTTTTACACAATACATGGTGTCTAATTTAGCCTTTACTTAACAGTTCTGATAGATGTAATTAGAATATACAGTCCGCCGACAACCTGTATTATACGTAATAACTCTCCACATGGCCCTGTGCTAAAAATATTCCCAAGCGACTATTAATACAATAAATTAAAAAAAAACGGGGCGGGACACTTTGAGAGGGGCAAGAGAGGTATGGTGTAAAATTTCATTGCAAAAGCTCAAAAGCTTCTTAAGATATCGCCCGGAACGAAAGTGTTACACACAGTCGAAATGTATGAATTTACGACCTTGAAGTTTGACCTTTTGACCTTAAAATCAATAGTGGTCTTCCTTAGGCCACAGGGAGTGGCTATGTAAAATTTCATTGTAAAAGCTCAAAGGATTCTTGAGATATCCCGCGGAAAAGAAAGTGTTAAAACAGACAGAATTTATTAATTAATGACCTTGACCTTTGACCTTTTGACCTCAAAATCAATAGGTTTCTTCTTTAGGCCATAGGGAGTTGCTATGCAAAATTTCATTGCGACAGCTGAAAGGGTTCTCGAGACATCGCGCGGAAACGAAAGTGTTACAGACAGACAGAAATACAGACGGACGGACCCAAATTAATATCCCCCACTTTCAGTGAAAGCGGGGGACAACAAATGTAACTTTAATAGAATAAGGCAAATTATTAAAATTCAAAGAAAGAACAACGAATCTTAAATTGCAATTTGAAATATTTTATATTATCTAAAACAGTTGTCATTAGTCTTCTCTATTAACTTTATATGATCATCATAAATTTTGTGCGTAGTGCGCTATTGTAAATAAACATTAGCTAAAGATTACATTTTTTTCTCAATTTATACCTGCGTCACAGTTGTAGCCATTCGATCCATCATTGCAGGAACATTTGTATAATCCTTACACTTGGTAAACTCCATGTTGACATGGACTGTTGAGGCATTCGTTTATATCTGAAAATCAATCTTAAAATTTACTAGTAACAACACAAGAGTTAAATGATCTGCACGATCCAATGAATTAAAAAAAACCTATTTTGTTTCAAAATATGACATCTAAATGTTTATTGGCCATTAGGAAATAGTAATAATAATAATGCAAGTATTTTCTTTTGACCTGTGTCAACAAATGTTACATTATTTGTATAGAACTTGCTATGCCTCTCACAGACTCAACACGCTGACCTCATTTTTTGTGATTACGCTTTTCAAGAGCAAGTTCTGTTGTGTCTACTACAACACAACTATCTACAGCTTTCACAGAAGCCAAAAACATATTCACAAATACTATGCACAAAATCACCTGTTCTAACATATCGATATCCTAAGAGTTTAAATAACGTTTCAACACATCTTGGTTATTTTTATATATTTACTGCTTTAAAAGGTCAGCAAAAAGATTTGATTTACCTGGTTTTATAAAATTATCAGGGAACAGTAAATGCACTTTCAAAGAATATAAGAAAATAAAAGCACAGAACTACTTGAACACTCTACCTGACATTGTAGCTCAAGTAAACCCGGAAGTTTTAGATCAAATAATACAGCTTAAGCTTTGACATCGAAAGACACATTTGATTTAAGCATGCTAAGATCAAATATCTTAATCTCTGGAATATCATTCATATTCTGTTGTCTAGTTCAGTGGGTGAAAAGTGCCACAAATTGTGCGGGAGCTGGATTGTGTTGTCCTGGTTTAAATAGCGGATGTAACGCTCGAGGACCTTACCTCTATCATTCTGGCTACGGTGTCTGTTACTGTGACGAAGAGTGTCTTCGGCTAAAAGATTGCTGTGCTGACTACATCAAGTACTGCACAAGTAAGAATCCTATCCTACATAGTTTTCCTCCAATATTTTCAGATTTTAAACATTTAATTTCTCTCTCTCTCTCTCTCTCTCTCTCTCTCGTTGTGAAGACACAATTTATCATTATGTATATTAATGGTGGCTGAACTTTTCTTATCAATAGACACCATTTCAAATTTCAGATCTATTCAAATGCGATGGGACAAAATGTAAAAATGGAGGAACGTGTCATGAGAAACCAACAGGATTTACCTGCACATGTCCAACTGGATTTAAAGGAAGCAAGTGTGAAGAAGGTTATATACCGTTTACCTATGTAAATTTTTTAAATGTATAATATCTGCCATAAAATCTCACTGAGTAAACTTCTAAAGTCAAGTATGAGAGTGTAAACTTATAATGTCAAGTATGACACTCACAGTATGTTGATATACTGTACAAATAAGAAAATTCAGTTTGGAATTTTTTTAAGTCTCTCTGATAGCATTTTGACTGTTTTATATTTGTTTTATTTCAATAAAATAATGATTTCATAATCAATAAATGATTAAAATGTCCTAATAAAAAGGAGAAAAGAATATCAGACAAAAGAAATCACACATTTTCATAATTGTACAAAAATCCTAATTCTCATCTTAAGTATTTTTTCATAAAAATGTTTTAGGGTATGTGTTCAAGATGCTGAATTATCAATCTTAATACAGAGATATTGACGAATGTATGAGCGGTCCGTGTGATAACCAAGGAAGATGTGTGAATACCCCTGGTTCTTATTATTGTGTATGCAAAAGCGGGTGGACTTCAAAGCAATGCGATGTTGGTAAGAGAACATTGTGTGTTCCCCTTTTGCACACATTTGAAAATTAGGTATAGAACAATAGGTGTGAATTGTGTTTTCATAACAATATAGTCTGCATTCTACTTGGATTTACCTTTATTTTACAAATGTATTTTTGAAAGAAAAAAAAGAAAGAGAATATTTAGATCCCATTTCAGTCTGTTTTTCAAATAACAGATTAAAAACAGACAAAAATAATGCCTAAATATATGGTCTTATGAAATAAGTTAATCAAAGATAAAATAAACTGTAATAAATCTTGATATCAAGTGCATATGACTTTATTTCCAACTATTTCCTAGATTCAGCTTTCCTTATATATACCAACTATGATACAGGCTATAGCAATTAAGTAATTATCTTTCCTGGACAAATTCCCATTTTGCACACATATTTTTCTATACATGAATTTCAAATGTGTGTAAAATGGGATCAAACCAGAGAACATGGAGTGAAAAACTTCTTATACACCGACAAAAAGTTGTATTGACTCACGCTGTATTACTACAGTAAGTAAAATGACAAAATTAATATACATGTACATTCTAAACTGACATAGAACATAGACTAATGTGTATATTTCATCGAACAACTTCTACTGATCGATAAAATGTACAATAGTTTTCGTCCTGAAACTAAAAAAATGTTTGAGCAAACAGAACATAGAAAATAATGATAAATAAAGAAGATAATCACTCATAAAAATACTTCTTCTAACACAGGCTATATCATTCATACTATTAATACTATTTTTTTTTTCAGTCATATTTTAGACAGAAGAATATTTTTTCAATCACTGTCAGAGTGTTCTGTTTGAACGCTTTGTTTTTTGTTTGAGTCAAAAGTTATTTCCCTTAATTTTTCTTCAATGGGCATGTTTGTATATCGTTTCAAAATTGAATAACAAAACGTAAAACAGGATCGACGTGATTATTTAGTGAACCATTGATTCATTTAAAAAATGTATGGATTGCACTGTTGCCTAGATATTAATGAATGCGACGAGTCTCCATTTCCATGCCATAATGGAAACTGCACAAACACTCCAGGGTCTTTTACATGCAAATGTAACACTGACTAGGAACCTCCGAATTGTGCTCAAGGTATTTTACAAATATTTTTATTTCTCTGTCTATTATTTTGATATATTATGCTTTCTTGTAAATGAGTCAAGAAACGCTTATTAAAAACAAGATGTGTTTGTGAAACACTGATGCCTCCGTATGGCAACTTATAGCGAAGGTTAAAATTTAACAAAAGCAAATCAAATATGTTGGTACCCAAAGTAAGGTCTTGTCTCGAGAAATATACCTGTGAAATATGAAAGCCCTATCAACAACCATTAAAAAGATATGGAAACGGTTAAAATTTTTCAGAAGTAAATCAAACATCAAGGTCAAATGGTCAAAATCAATGGTGTCCAAGAAAAGGCCTTTTCACAAGAAATATGAAAGCCCTGGCATCAATCGTTCAGAAGTTATGACCAAGGTTAATTTTTTTTTTAAAAGAAGGTAAAACTCCAAGTTAAAGGTCAAAGTTGTTGGTATCCAAATTAATATTCTGTCACAAGAATTACATATGTGAAGTATGAAAGCCCTTGAGCCAACCGTTCAAAAGTAATGACCAAGGTTAAAATTCCCAAAAAGTAGTTCAAACTACAAGATCAACGTCAATGGGCTATAATTGTTGATATCCAAAGGAAGGTCTTGTCATAAGGAATACACATGTGAAGTATGAAAGCCCTAGAACCAACTCTTCAAAAATTATGGCCAAGGTTAAAGTTTTTCAAAAGTAGGTCAAACTCCAAGATCAAAGTCAAAAGGTAGTTGTTGGTATTATATATATATATATATATATATATTAATATACTCTTTAAAATTAAAGTTCCTCAGTTTAGATAGTTGTCATTCAAGATTATTTGTTTACGTTTAAGACATTGATGAATGTATAATGGAGGAAGCTGTATAAATACACAGGGGTCTTTCTCCTGTAGCTGTTCCAACGGATGGCTTGGAACTGCTTGTGAAAAGGGTAAATACTTGAGGGTACTGTTTGTGAAAATGTTTACTACTTATTACTTTAATAGCACTGATTGTGAAAAGAGTAAATCCTTGAAATGTGTAGTAAGAAGTATATAGACATAATACAATTTGAACGATTTCCATTAAAACATATACATGTATATTAATATCAGCACTTTTTCAAATATTTGTCATTTGCAACAAAACCAGTAATTTTTGTATCCACGTTCCTACTTTTACTTATTTGAATATAATTAATAACTCCGGGATCACAGATAACCTTATACATATACAATTAGACACATACTCCTTAATTAGACTTATTTAATCTGAAATTTGATGAAAAATCTCATTAATTAGATATGGATGAATGCAGTGAAAGTCCTTGTGATAACAACGGAGCATGCTTCAATACGCCTGGCAGCTACGATTGTCAATGTAGAATAGGATATGTTGGCCCATCTTGCGGAAGCGGTAAGGACGCCAAAGAATATTATTCTGACAAATAATAGACAATCAGACAAAGATTTAATAATTTATTTTTAAAAGTAATTATCAAATTCATTTAGATTTAGACGAATGCAGCTCTTCTTGTAAAAATGGCGGAGTATGTCGAAACACTTTTGGGGGGATATCAATGCATTTGCGCCAGTCATTTGGGATATATTGGAAAACACTGTGACGAAGGTACATGAATACATTTGTGCCATACAAATAAAGCTACTTTGTTCCGATTTTCTTTAATGTTAAAAAACTTAATTTTATTTATCGAATAATTTTTTTTGACATTTTCTTGGTATTTTCTGAAGAAGTTTGTTTCAATGTTTTAATTCTCAGATATAGACGAATGTACAGAATTTTCTCCTTGCCTTAATAATGCATCATGTACGAACCAGGAGGGATCATTTAACTGTGTATGTCCCGGTACACTTAAAGGGGAATTTTGTCAATTTGGTAAGAATTTTGAATCTAAATTAGGAAAAATATGTTATCTAAAATTTTTATATTAGCTAGTATTATTATGAGAATCATCTAGGTTATTGGGTATCCCAGGGTTGGAAATATAGTGTTTTTCTACACATTTTATCGAAAAATAAATTTTGTTGTTATGACTACAGCAAATTGTCAAAAAATGTTTGCCAGTGTGTAGTTTTGTTTAGCTTAAGAGTACCGGCGTAGAAATGCACTTTGAAAAAATTCTGCACTTTGAAAAAAAAAATTCAAATTTAAAATTTGGACAAAATCAATCTACTTTGAAAGTTTTTTTTTCAAAGTGCGTTTATTTTCGGACAAAATCAACGCACTTCGAAAAATTTTAGTAAGTCACTTTTCTGTATTATAGTATTTAAGGAATAGCTACCCAATTTATAGGGTATAAACTGGGTTGGGACCGTTAAACTGGAAGAGATTTAATAATAAAAAAAGCTTAAACTGTTTCAACACCGTTGAACCGTATGAATTAGGTAGCTATTAAATTCATTCAAATTTAATTTCTCTTTCATTTTCAATTCAGTTCAGTTCTTTATTCTGTCGTACATATATCCTATAAGCATTACAGTACAAAATTATATATTAATCAATTAAATACACAGCACAATAACATGTTATATATTTTGTGTAAGAAAAAAAGATGAATGCCCTTAAAAATATCTTCTACAATTGTACAAAATTTACGACCAGAATTAAATTATTTAAGAAATAAGATCATTTGTAGAGTTTCATTGGGATATGACGTGAAGTTGGTCACGTGATCAAATCCTATAACGCCCGAAATATAAAATATTTTATATCTTATATTTATATATATTTTTTTAATTTTTGTTCGTGTTACACAGAAAACTATTCAATATTTAGACTTTGTTATAAAATGCAACATAACGTAAATGCACGACGTCATGTGACGTTACAGTCTAGACCTTCCAAAGTCTCGTGCGATTTGCTTTCCATACGCACCAAAGTCTGATCATGTGACCAACTTCATGTCATTGAAAATTGAATGTCAGTGTAATTCGTACTGTCATGTAAGTAAAGACATTGGCAAATGTAAATATTTATAAATACATGTAAATATTTTCTGTTTAATTAGAGACGGATCCCTGTGATTCTAGCCCTTGTATTAACAACGGGACATGTCGTGCAGTTAATGATAGTTTTATCTGTTTATGCAGTTTAGGATTTGATGGAAATCAGTGTAACATAGGTAAACTATCGAAAATTTCTTAACATAAGAGATTTACATTTTCATCAAAGTCTTCTCAGAATGATCCTATAATGCTGAAACGTTTTGATACAGATATCAACGAATGCGAAGAAAATCTTTGTCATAATAACGGAACCTGCATTGATAATCATGGAAGCTTTGAATGTCAATGTTTTCAAGGATATTCAGGAAAATTTTGTTCAGAAGGTAAAAGTAATTTTTCTGTCTTTTTTTAAGTAAGTCCGGAATGATTTCTAATGAAATGATTTCTTTTTTTATAATACCATGAAATGGTATTTTTGTACGTCTAATTTAAGTGCTATGTTTTGTTTATATATATATAAATGTACGTCTTTCCCCTTTCTGAACGATGGTCTTTTTATCAATGTTGATAATAGTAATTTTTTTATTTATAATTAATCAAAATATAATTATCTTTTCCTTTCTTAAGTTATAGTCTGTTGACCTATAAGCTGCATTCGTTTTTGTTTTGTAACTACCGTGTAGAAATTGACAATTGTACTTCGAGTCCTTGCTTGAATAACGGATCGTGCGTCTCCTTACCCGGAGATTTTAGATGTATGTGTTCTGAAAGATGGACTGGTAAATTATGCGAAGAAGGTAAGCATGTATTTCTTTAAAAATCTTTTAACAATCAACGATTTTAGGGTTTAATGAGATAGAAGCATGTAGGACCTATTTCGGAATATTTTTAGACATTGACGAGTGCACTTGGGAAGTCTGTGGCATGAAAGGCTCGTGTTCAAACACCAATGGTTCTTTTCATTACAATTGTTCTTCTGGCGTGGAAGGCATGTTCTGCAATAGAAGTGATCTATAACTTAGGTTTATTTTTTTGGTTTTCCAAAGCTGCATGTCCTATCTTCTAGAAAGAAACAAATGAGAGTATTTTCTCGTTTTAGACTATGATGAGTGTAAAAGCAATCCATGTACTAATGGCGGAGCGTGCATAAATATTGCTGGACAATTCCAGTGCGTTTGTCCAAAAGGATATTCTGGCTCTATGTGCGATACAGGTATAAAACATATAAAGGGTTTTGTAGCCAGTAAAACATCATAGAATACCTATCAAATTATGTATATGTCTCACACATGTATCCACCCACTGTTAATTTTGTTTGCTTACTTTGAACTCTTTGAGCCAAAAAGAAAAAAATATTTTGCATTTCCTATCTAAGTTGAAAAACATTAGCTTTTCAATAATTTGATAGTAATTTGCTTGATTTTGTTAGATATTGACGAGTGTCTGGGATATCCTTGTGAAAACAATGGAAGCTGTATCAACACAATTGGCAGCTATGCGTGCATTTGTCAAAAGGGTTGGAACGGAGACAAATGTCAAAACGGTAAGATCTTATCTATCCTTTGGTAATAGTCGATTTTTTAATATATTCCACTTAGATGTTAATGAATGCCTGGGGAATGGTTGCGTCAACGATGGTACATGTATCAACACGCAAGGATCATTTCGTTGTCAATGTAATCAATTTTTCACTGGACCTCACTGCGAGGAAGGTACAGAATTTGTAAACTGTTTTAAAGATTTAAAATTTTTGAATTCTTTTTAAATGTTTTCACATTCCCTTTAAAATTATAGGGATATATTTTCTTTGTAGATATCAATGAATGTGTAACGACGCCCAATATTTGTAAAAATGGAGGAATGTGCGAAAACACTTGTGGCGGTTATAACTGCCACTGCACTCCTGGAAATCAAGGCACAAACTGTGATGGAGGCAAGTTTTACTGACTGATTACAATGATTTTGTCGCTAACTTTTTGATTTTGAACTTTTCAACTAGATTACAAACTAGTTTTTGAGATCGGGTCAAGCACTGGCTCTCTGCTAGTACAAGTTTTCAAATTCTTAGAAGTTAATGAATCAATTTAAAATAATGAATTCTTAACAATTTTTCTATTAAAATAATTTAAAGACATTGATGAATGTGTTGAATGGAAACCCTGCAAGAATGGTGGAAGCTGTACGAATACGTAAGGATCATTTTATTGTAATTGCACATCAAACTGGACTGGGTTTACGTGTGAAAAAGGTACATTGCATGGGAAACATTCAGTACATGTTTGGCTAAAACGTACACAAATATTTTTAAGATATCATATTTATACTTTTTCAGATGTAAATGAATGCAGACCTTACCCCGGGCCATGCATAAATGGTTCCTGCATGGTGGATTTAACTGTATTTGTGACACTGGTTTTACTGGTGCATTTTGTGAGCAGAGTAAGTGTACGAGCTAATCAGTTTCTTCAATTTTTGCTACACGGTTTCCTAACCATTTTCTCTGTAAATTTGTTTTTTTTTTAGACGTAAACGAATGTCTGTCTTATCCTTGCATGAACAACGGGTCATGTGTAGATGTATTTGGATCCTTCTTCTGTGAATGTATCAATGACTGGGGTGGACCGCTTTGTGAAATTGGTATTATAGAAAAATTTGAATTCTTGTAAAATTTTTGATTTTGTAATTAATTTTGAGACAATTACTGAAAAAAAAGAAAAATACCCACTTAAGAATTGTATTAGATGTATAATTGTAGTCTTATGATTTTATATTTATAGATTTATGCAAAACAATACAAGCTCAGATAGTTTTTGCAGTCGATTCCTCCTTTAGCACTACGGAATCAGTCTTGAAAGAGCAAGTCCAGTTTATTTCCAATGTAATTAAAAGGATAACGGTTTCTGAAGAAAATTTGACATTGCACTTGTATCTTATGGAACTGATGCACAAGTATATATTCCTTTTGGCGCATATAATAAAAGCATTGAATTACTCAACCAAGTATCAACATTTCCTTTATAAACGGAACAACTGATATTTTTAAAGCGTGTCAGAAAGTAAAGAAGATTTTGTCTAAGAAACTCTACACTTCGCAGTTCGTCTTATTTCTCACTGATGGAATGCCTAGTAGCTTGCAATTAGCTTTCAGTGCTATGAAATCATTGCGTTACCAGATACAAGCCACCATGCCATGGAATGACGTCATTCTTGTTGAAGTTGGTGAAGATATACATCATGAAAGTCTACGTAGGTTATCCTCGAATGGCGATGTCAAAAATGTGTTCAGTCATGTAAACATGGACGCATTGTTTTATATTTTTACGAAACTGGTAAACGCCAAGTGCTCTGGTACGTTGATATTTTTTTACCATATTTTGCTAAATAGGAAAATTAATGGTGGCATATTTCTGCCCCCTTAATGCAAGATAAATTATGTTAACCTGCAACATATTTTTGTACACATGCGACTTATTTATGTCAACATGCAAAATAATTATGTTGACATGCAAGTGACCAACGTCTTTAGAGAATCTAGTTTTAATGTTGGTAAACTTACTTACAAACGCCATTATAAAACATCATACAAGCACAATACAAGCACGATGCAACAGGATAATGTTGGCATGCAGCTTATTTATGTTAACTTGCGAGATAATTATGTAGACATGCGACTTTATGTTAACATGCAAGATAATTATGTAGATATGCAACTTATTTATGTCAACATGCAAGATAATTATATAGAGATAGATAAACACATCTCAAAGTACAAACTTGATCTAGAACTGACTCAGTCATTTACACGGTAACAATACACAATACAAAATACACAATGATGTCGTCACTATTATGACATCATCACCAGGAATGCACACTGCACATTACATGTCACGCAGATAAGTTAATGTTATAGTATTTATAACAGTCTCTTTCATTGTCATTATGATAGACTTGGACGCGACAAAAATGACTTCTGTAGGCCTTTGCAATGTCAGGAAAAATAATTACCAAAGATTTTCGATAACAGTTGCACTGGTCAATGTATTACAAAGTAAAATATACACAAATGCACCTTAATTAAATAAAACGTTAACAAAAAGACAATGTTAGATATTCATGTACTACAGACAGCAGTAAACAGGTAAAAACAGTCAGATGTAACGTATGCGAAGGGTTCAAATACCCAGTGCTGACATAGGTGACAGAAAAAAATAATTTGGAGTATGCCTATTTACGAGTCGTGTTCAGCTTTAACATAAACAAGTCGCATGTCAACATGATTATGTTGATACTGGCGTTAGTGAGTAAGTTTACAAATATTAAAATTAGATTCTCTAAAAAGATTGGTCACTTGCTTGTCAACATAATTTTTATGCATGTAGACATAATTATCTTTCATGTTGACATACTATTCTTGCATGTTAACATAATTAATCTAGCATTAAGGGGCAGAAAAATGCATTGAATGAAAATTTTAAAGACTATAACTTAATTACGGTTCTTCGAAATACATTTCAATCAAAATTAAAAAAAAATCTGATTGAGATGAAGATTAAGTTTAATAAACTGGATTGAATCGTTTGAATATATACTATAGAATGATCACATGTATCCACATTACACAAAAGAAGGGATAACTCTTGTTTGGACGTTCCAAAAATATTGATATCAAAGCATATTTTTATGCTATAAATACGCAGGGATTTTCAATGTAATACCTTATAATTTCTCTTATAGCATGCAAGCAACAAAGGTCAATTGATCTCATTCTGGCTCTTGATACATCTTCAGCACAGCATAAAACTACCTTCACCTCTGGTCTTTCAATTTTCAAAACCATTTTACAAAAACTTCATCAGAATTTCGTCCTTGGTGAAAATAACTTGCAAATCGGTGCCGTCCATATTTCTTCAGAACCAGTGCTCATGATTAGGCTGAACCAATCGCAAGATTTAAACAATTTTCTTAAAATCTGAACAAGACTTTAAACTAATGAATTCTACCCCTGATGTTGCGAAGGGTCTCCGTTTCATTTCAACAGAAGCTCTGTCGTTAAAAACGGAGGTAGGAAAAATTCTCGGAAGTATATCATTCATATGTATACAGGATATGACAAAAATTCTACAGAATCTGTTAAAGAAACGAAAAAACTGACAAATGAAAATGTTACTGAGATATCTATTGGTGTTGGAGAAAAAATTAACGACAGAGATGTTCTTCAGACGGCATCCAGTGCTTATTTTGCTTTCTTTAGCGAAAAACGGGAGGATAATCGTTGGCATGTTACTGAAACGGATTTAAAATTTATGTTAAAATTTGGACATGCGTATTGTAGCAATAGAATTAATGCATGACTTGTATTGGTTGCACAAACCGTCAGACTACCATTATGTAAACTAAGCATACTTAAGTAATGAATATATATATATATATATATATATATATATATATATATATATATATATATGTGTGTGTGTGTGTGTGTGTGTGTGTGTGTGTTATGACTTACAGCTGTCTATGTTTAGCGGCGTAACATTGTGGGGCTCCTTAATCCGAATGTTGAACGAAAGACAACAGGATATAAATTGTTTTTATTATTTTATTAGATTTTATTCAAATAAATATACACAAAACTCTTCTTTGGCTCTGCAGTCTGCACCTGAAATAAAAACAAACCAACCACCCTTTCCACCAAATGTTAATTCTTAAACCACCCTTGAACAAACTCTTTAGTAAACACGAACAGACCTAATGCCTTTAGGTCTTAGTTTAAAGATTGAATCAGTGATTTCTTCACTACTAGTATAGATATGAAATACCAGAGGTTATAGCAAGCAACTATTTGTATAGGGACAAAAAGTTATGCTAATTTCTCAGTAAAATTCAATACAATGCACCATGCATTTGTTAATAATAATGTCAGGGGTTATAATATCAATTTCAGGTCACTTCTTGTGCCTGAGTAAATAGTAACCAACAGCGGTAAGTTCAGATCACTACTTGTGTCTGAAAGAAACTTTAAAATGCATAAACAAATAAAGCAATTAAAAGTTGCTAACAAATATTCAGTGTTAGATTAGGTTAATAATAATTACCCATCTAAATTCTTCTGGACCATGCTCTGTGAGCGTCATTGTTACAGTGGCAGAACCTTACTGTAGGTGAGACTGCAGACGTCTGTCTGTCAGAGTCCGCGGAGCTCGTATTTATACCAGTTAGACCCTCTATGACGTCCCATGCATGACGATTTGGCGCCATAACTTCAAATCACTGGAAGACTTCGGGTGCAGTTAGTTTACTGTACTCATCCGAGGTGTTCCGAACGTACTTTACAGCTTTTACCGCTTAATATGAAAACTGATGTGTAATTGTAAGGCTTTACCCAAATTATCAGTCACTGGACTTATCATTCATCCAAATTACTATAGGTAAGCATATACAGCTTTATAATAATGTAATCATTGAACCATTAATGGTGTATTTACATTGTGTGTTGAATTTCCCTAGTCTCGTGGAGGAAATTCGGAATGAGGTGTACACTATACGACATTTTCTTATTAAGATCCTGGCTTTAATTAATAATAACATTTACTAAATAAAAATGAAACATAAGTATATATTCTTCATCCAATCATTCATCCACTCATTATTTTAATGATTCATTCCACAAGAAATAACTTGTCATTTGTTTACTTGTTCATAACCATAGTGGAGAATGCCGAATTCGTAACATATATATATATATATATATATATATATATATATATATATATATATATATATATATATATATATATATATATATATATATATATATATATATATATATATATATAGCCAATAAAGCATCGTTTATTTGTCAAAGATAAATATATTACTCGGAGAAATAATGTAAATACTAATTATGTGTAAGAGAGATAAAAAAAAAAATCCTTATTCTTTCATATGAATGAGAATGAAAGTACATGTATTCTTATTTTGCCGTATGAAAGAGAAGAGAAATACATGGAATCTGCCATACATTACAATGGTATTAGGAAGGATACGTTTTTTTTTTTTTCGAGGGTTCAGCGTTTTCCCAAGAGATTGTTCGATTGTATGTTGTTTAACGCCCAATTTGAGAGAAAATGAAAGTTGTGATATCTCGAGAAACGTATAGTTAATTATAAATACAATGGATATGATTAAAAGATCCCAGAATCAATCATATATATATCAAAACACTTCTATCAGTGTGATGCAAAGTGAAGGATGTTTTTGCAACAGCATCGAGTCCATTTTATGCATTTAAATCTAATCAACTATTAAATAAGAGATCGAAATCGATTATGACTTTTTTTCGGCTTGTGAACAATATATTCTCTAGGTTTTATTTATTTCAAGATTTTATTTTGATGTTTTAATATTTCTTTATCTGTATCTTTAGTATCACCACATACACATAAACTCGATGACTTTGTATGAAAAATTAACCCATAACATTTATCAGCTGTTGCTTCTGTATATGTCATGTTAAATGGTACACTTTAGCAAGGTAGATTATTCGCAATAAAAGAATGAGAGTAACATGAGAGTTTTGGAAGTTAAATGGAGTGTGAAGCATGTATACCATCTGTGTCGCTAATCATATACGTCTTGTGCAAACTGTGGTGTTGACATAAAAATATTTGAATTAACGACGATGTGATTGCCAATATAAAGATGAAAAACAAAATTCTTTGATCTGAAAGGCTGAATGAAAAGTAGGATTCTATTGTAATAACTTAAAAATGTATATAAGTGTGCAATAAATAAAGGCTTTGAATTCGTGGAATTATTACAAGCTACTTAGTATTCCTTTTTCGAGATCTTCTGAACATTTAAAAAAGAAGTTGTACCGACAATAAATTTATAAATTTAATTACTAGTAAATATGTAGCTCCCATTTTAAAGAATAATTTAAGTTTTTACCCTCTTCGTACAAAGCAATGAGTATATCTTGCTAATAAAAATTAATTCCGTGTCTTTTAATCTCCAACTTTTATCACTTTCTTTATATTCTGCAAAATAAGCATGAAATGCACTGGAAGCAGTAGACAAAATCTCTTCATCCTTGTACTTGCCTCCGACCCCAATTGAAAAGATGGTTATTTTGTCCCGTGTTAATGACTGTGTCATCTTCACAGACTCCGTAACATTAGCATCGAATCCAGTGTAGATATGGATCAGAAGTTTTCGAGATGAATTTCTGGCACCGTGTTCTGGGGACAAAAGATGGGTTCGTGTAAATTCCAAAGCTCTTGCTACATTTGTAGAAGAATTCCGATAGCTTGTACAGTCTTGTTCTATCCCCATAATTTTGCTTGCACTACTATCAAAATCGTATGTCTCGTTCAACTGCATTAACAGGTGAGGTTCGTTTGAAAAATAAACCGCTCCTATTTGAGTTTTGTTTTGTCCCAAAGAAGTTACAGGTTTCAGGCGCTCTAAAATTGAGTTAATGACTCATAAACTACCGGAGAATGTTTCTTGTGGTAGAATTGAAGATACGTCAATAACAAACATAAGATCCACCATATATTGTTGAAAGCATGCTGAAAAGTTTATAGAATAACATGAATAAGAAGTAAAAGGAATTAATACCTAACGTTAATAGGATGTATGAAAGAGGAGAGAGTATGTAAGTAGGTAAGTAAACAGGTAGGTGGGCAGGTAGGTAGGTAAATAAGTAGGTAGATACATACGTAGGTAGGGAGGTGTGTAGGTATGTACATGTAGATGCAGAAGGATATTTGTGTTTATTACTTTAAGACAACTCAACTGTTTTTTTTTAATTATCAATAAATGGACGACGACTGTTTTACAAAGCTGAATATATAACCGTTTCATTAAATTAGGGATGGCAAATTTCAGAATTTCTAAGTTGTTAACCGTAAGACGTTCCGACCGATTATCCGGTTAATCGAATCATACACATTTTCCTGACTTTTGTTTGTAAACTCTAATCATACCCACAGAAAGCTAAAAAATAAAAAAAGAAAAGATAAAACATAAATGATATTCTTTTTTTGCCTGATCAAAACACTATATTCATGCATCGATTTTTTTGTTGTGTTATGTACCCTTAATTTACAATGTATTTTCAATATTATAATTTGATAGATATTTGCAAAGGATAGACGGGGATAAGAAACACATTGTAATCAGTTCAAAGTACGCAGCGGCAGTTTAATTAAATTAATTAAAAGAAACAGGACAGGCTGGGTAACGACATGATGTTTAAACAGTAATTAACGCTTCACAAACAGATCAGGGTAATAGTGAATCCGGGGAGCCATAATTACCTTATCATCAGCAGAAATAAATATGTGAAAAATGTCAACATTCAGATTTTTTTAACATTGTGAATTGGAATTTGGGAAAATCTATATATATCTACGTTTTTGACTAACCGATTAAAGATTTTCTTACCGATTACGATCGTGTAACCGTTTAACAGGTAACAAATTGTCATCCCTTTATGAAATGCATTACCTGTGCATTTTTCATCTACCAGTCTCTTCATCACATAATCCATGGGATCCATAGAAATATGAGTAAAAACATCATTATAATGTGGGTCTCCTGATATTCTCCTCAGCCCCTCATGTCTAATGTCTTCACCGAAAGCCACGAACATCAAAGCATTATTGGAAGTAGAGTTAAGCAAACGTGCTCGCAGTTCCCCTGTTCCATTTATAGCTAGTTTTAGATCAGTAGGCATCCCATCCGTAAAAAAGAATACAAACTGGTTACTCCCTTTGGTTTCATTCAAAACATCCCTCACTTTGTATGAGGCATTATGAATATCAGTTTTTCCATTCATAAATGAAACCTTAGAGATGAGATCCAGCAGTACTGTTTTATTGTTTTCATAAGAATCGAACCCTATGTCGATGCTTGTATTCATTCCGTATGATGCTACTGCTACCTTGAATTTTTCGTTTGAGAGGGAAAATCTTGAAATGACGTTAGAGATGAAGTCCTTCTGTTGTTGAAATACTTTGTGGCTGGTACTGAAAGAAGTGTCAACAACAAACACTAACCGGGCTGGCTTTGTCTTGCACAAGTCTGGAAAATAATGATTACCTTGAATGTGTATTACATATTTCTTTTTAAAAAAACATATCAATATCAGAAAGGGTTAACATGTATTATACGAAAGTTTTCTCACCTATTTCGCAATGCTTTCCACCCCAGTTATCCACACAATGGCATTTATACGAACCATAAGTGTTGACACAAGAAACGTTGTTTTTGCAAGGCCCAGTTAAGCATTCATTGATGTCTGAGAAAGGAAAGCAACTTTCAGTTCATAATCAAGATTTATTCCCATCCTACCAATAAAAATTTCAAATTATATAAAACAAAACAAAGGGTAGAAAAATTAAAAATTAACCTAGTTCGCAAGGAGCGCCTGTAAACCCTGGCATACAAGTACAGCCAAATCCTCCCTGGAAATTAAAACACTCGCCATTGTTTTGACAGGGAAAGTCCCTGCATTCATTCACATCTAAATTGAATTCAAACAATATGAATAAATATTTTATTTTGTTTTGTATAATATAACATAGTTTTACTAATCTACATTAAATAAATGTCCTGGAAGAAATTCTAAAAATATTGTCAAAGATATATTACCTTCCTGACAAACACTTCCGGTCCAGTTTGACGAACAGTTACAGTAGAATGACCCCTCTGTATTGGTACAGTTGCCCCCATGTTTACATGGTGGCTCTGAGGTCCATTCTAAACACTCATTTACATCTTGAAATATAAAGGAAATATTTTTTTTCTTTATTGGAATGATGAAGGATATTAACTGATGTAAATTTCTTTAAAACTTAATTTAACCTCAGAGACTGATTTTAAAATATTTCAAATCATTAGTTTCAAAATATGGCATAATTTATATTTTTTTTCAAATTCTAAATTGAACTAATGAATATTGCAATTGTTCAGACTGAGAAACCAATGGATGTGGAGAGAGAACCTGCATCACAAGTTTTCCCGGAACGTCCCGGGGGACAATGACACATATAATCCCCACAGAGATTCTCACATGTTCCTCCGTTTTTACAAATTGAAGGTCTCCTTATACATTCATTTATATCTAAAATAAAAAGAAACAAACACTCATATAAAAACTGCACTATATAAACGGAACAAAGATAAGAATGGAGAGGGTGTTTTTTTTACCTTCTTCACAATATTTTCCTGTGTAAAATTCGTCGCAATGGCAGACAAAGGAACCATAGGTGTTTGTACAACTTCCATTGTTCCTACACCCTATTAATTGGCACTCGTTGATATCTACAACCATTCCAAACATTTTCATCTATAACTACAATTTTACTTTACTCGCTTAATTTAATCTTTGTATTTAAGAATTTCTTGTAAACACTATATTTTATTATTTCAAAATAATAAATTAATGAAATGAAGTATATACCCAGATATAAATTGAAATCTATTCGTAAACAAGAGTGAATAGCATCGGTAGTTACTATTTACAATTAATATTCATGTTCATTCCATTAAGTGAAACAAACCATGTTCATGTAAATGATGCACGATAAGGACACGATTATTTTATGAAATGTTTCGAACTTGAAATAAAAAAAAGATGTAGTAAAAAAATAAGTCTTTACTGGGACTATAGTAATTAAACTGATAGAATCAAACGAATGAATCCCGGATACGAGTTCTGAAGTTTTATTCCAAACACCATTTTATTTACTCACTAGTTTGTGTTTCTGGTACTTGAAGAGTTTGAGTCAAGATCATGGACAAAAACATACTAAAATTTCAAATTTTTTTTACAATCCATATTTCAAAAGTCTCCTTGTCTTTGGCATAATTTTGTGACAGAAAGACAGGCAGACAGCTAGACAGACAATCTTTAAAACTATGCCAATCATTTGGCGAAAATATAGTTTAAAATCCTACCAATATGGAAACAAAAAAGAGTATAATTCAGTGGTGAAGAACATGATATTATTCAACTTGTATGGTAAGCAAGAATATCATGTCTTTTAGTTAGTGTATAATACCTGTATCACAGCGACTGCCAGTGAAACCTTCACGACACAAACATAAGTATCTTCCTGGAATGTTTTGGCAATCTCCGTGATGACATGTCCTGCTTGTACATTCATCAACATCTACACAGACAAGAATGTTTTTAACGACATTACTTAGTAACAATACTTCTTTTTTTTGCTACAATCATTTAAGATATACAGAGACGGACTACCAATGTCTTAAGTACAATGTATATTCTAATGAAATATCAAACAATATACACCTTTTTCGCAGACTGATCCGGTCCAACCTGTGACACAGTTACAGGAAAAAGATCCAGGGTTATTTAAGCAGTTTCCTCCATTGCAACATGGTGATGATGTTAAGCACTCGTCTATATCTTAATTACAATTGTAGTAAAGAAAAAAATCAAATATTTGTGAATAAAGTATCTTAATAATTAACATTTTAGACTGAATTTAATGTTTTATTATTATATTCTGTACCTTGATCACAGGTAGGGCCACTCCACCCCGGGATACAATTGCAGTGAAATGAACCATTTGTATTACTGCATGAACCATGTCCACATATACCACCAGTTAAACACTCATTTATATCTTTAAAAAAAGTAAGCGTTCGAAACATTTATAAAGAGTACATCCGATTTACATATTCAAGATCATTGATAGCCTTTTTTAAAATAATTTCACGGATTTTACCTGTTTTACAGTGACTTCCGGTCCACCCAGTGTTACAGGTACAGAAGTAACTTCCTATGGTGTTGGTACACGAACCGTAATAACAAGGCTGTGCAATACACTCATTGATATCTGTACAAAGTGCAAGGATAGCAAATTATAAATGTTAAATGACAAGGCAGTGCCATGCACTCATGGATATCTGAACAGATGGAAGGATAGCAAATTATAAATGTTTAAAAATATCATATTTCATGAAGCTTTTTTGTTTAAATATTTTTCCTAGAAAATGATTACATGTGTTTATGCCTACCATTCTCGCATCTTTTTCCAGTGAAGGGAGCTGGGCAGTTACATCTAAAACCACCATACAAATCTATACATGTAGCGCCGTGCAAACAAGGTCCTGAAGCACAGTCATTAACATCTGGGGGAAAATATTATAAATGAGACTTTTACATATTTTTCAATTTGCTAGATACAATATATATTCTAGCAGTACTAAAAGTATTTTAAAATTATATTATTTATATGACTTATTCACAAAGAGCTAGATTCACTTTATGCATAAAATAGCCCTGTCCTTATATCAATTAATTGACTAGTATCACCCTCTGTCCCATTTCATATATCAAAATATCAAAATAAAGTAAAGACTTAGTGCTTTCATTTCCTTTAACAAAATTTCTTTTTGAGAATCCAGGTATTTTAAAACAGGCTTTGTGAAAATGCAATGTTCTTTAATATTGCAGAAAACAGGTGCACTTGACTATCTCCAGCAAAGAATTAAAATATGAGCACAGCCCAACATTACATCATGTGTTATGATCTTTAGAAACTGATTTTTCATTATGTAATTTGATAATTTGGATCAGAGGTTGTGCTCTATATAAATATTGAAAAATCTTCAACTTTTGGCCATTTGTAAAGGAATTCAAAAGATATGGGAAAAAATGACGCATTTCATGACGTCATAGTGCATTGACTAGAGAGAAAATTACGTCATGTTTAATAGATAAACGGTCACCAAGGGTCCAAGTAAAAAATACTGCATTGTCAACTAATAATAAGCAGTTTCGAATTTTTCAGAAATTCACAGGGCCAAAAAAGGCCCTAAGTGACCCTTGCTCTTTTTTCTTATTTCCTTTGATACCTGCTGCTAGAGTGTAAAACCAAATTCCAGCCAAACCTACAACAGATAAATTAAAATAGCATCATTGTTTTTAGAGTTTATATGAGCCGTGACATACACAGTCACAGAATTTCTTCAAAATTACTATGATAAAAGTGTATAATACCATAAATTGATATCAAGACGAAAATGGTAGCTATGTTCACTTTTACCATAGAAACATGTACCAATGTCTGACCGAACATTTTCAAAATGTGCAAAGTTCCCATTTATAAAGTTTGCAGCAATGCAAAAAGATGACATTGACTGTTTCCAAAAGTCAACTTGATACCTTACAGCATCATAAACATATTTGGGAAAGCAACAATTCAATACGTTTCATATAGAAACAAAGTATTGAATTACTACAATTTTATTCATTTATTTTGATAAGTCATACGTTCAAAAAAATAGAAGCAATTATGGTTGAAAAGCCACCAAATAATAGCAAAAGATCCGTGTCATATATTTAAAGAAGAAATGTGATTTTTTTTTTTGGGGGGGGGGGGGGGGGTTAGAAATGGTTCCTAATGTTTTTATACCGATCAATGATTTCGAATGAACTCCCTGTATGTTTTCATATGTTCTTATCTTTTAACAGAGCATATTTTCTTCTGAACTGGATGTACTTTTTTTAAAAGCAATGGTGTTGCCTTAATTCTGCATTTCAGAAAGGTCTAGTTTTATTCTGTAAATAGACTGTTGCTATGGAAATTATTGGAAAATATATATAATCTAAAAAAAATATTTTGCTTCTTTACATAACATTGTATGTAATTCTGAAATTTTTTCTTATTGATATTCATTAAAAAAACTTACTTGACTTTCAATTCTAGCAATCACACAATTTCTAACACAATCTCTAACTAGACGTTAGAGGTTCAATATTGTTATAAAGTTAATAATCACGGTGCCTAGTGGTAGGTCGTTTGCTTCTCTCAGGAGGCCAGGGTTCGATTCTCATTTGTTGCGCCGCGTCAAAACTAAAAGGTAAACAAGGGTAGCCAGTCTCCCGGTATAAGAAGTGAAAGTCATGGGTCTTTCAGACGAGACCTTAAAACCCAAGGCCCCGTATGACGGTGGGAGTAGGCACGATAAAGAACCCTCACTGCTCGATGGCCCTGAGTGCCGAGTAAAGGTCTGAATTTGAAGCCCTTCACCGCTATATGGTGAAGTCTCTATATGGGTGAAAAATTCTCGAATGGGACGTAAAACAACATACATTCAATCAATCAATCCCTTCTTGGTAACCATAGCAACAGTACGCAATTCTTAATCAAGCTTGATCAATTTAATGATATACAACAGATTTATACAATTTATTGTGAATTAGAAAGAATGTCTCTTGATTCAAAGGTAACTAAATTCCCAAGACAGCAAAAAATCAAACAACTGGTATGCTGTTTTCAGAGTTACAGTACAATCTAGCAATAAATCCCGATTATTTATTTCTGCGTTGCAAATCCTAAAGCATATACTGGACATGCAGTCTTGATTTTCCATGTCTGTCATTAAAATGGCAGTATCAATCAAAATTGAGCATGAATTTTGTGTTGCTTTTCTGTGTTACCATGGCAACCATGAGAGTTATTTATTAAATGATATTGCTATAACCATTTTTCATATGGTCATTATTTTGATTGTTTTTTGTATTGGTGACTGAGTTTGATCATCTATCATTAGTGAATATTGAGTGGTTTTCAGCACGTAAAATGCATGCAAAATGCAGCCATGGTTGTCACTGAATTAGAAATATATTCTAAATAATTCCTTTATGGCATAAGTGGCAACGAGGTCTTATGTTTTTGAGAAAATGGTTAGAAATTTATTTTAGTCTTTATTTAGGCTCAAATAAGATATAAAATAGCTGAAAATATCATTTTTTAAAAAAATTTTCCTAGCTGTTAGCTGGGCAACCAAGACGCATAGCAACCAATTTCGATCAATTAGTGTTTCTGATGTCAACCTTTTATAATGGACAAAGTTTCATCATGAACAAGCGTGCCAAAAAGTCAAAGTGGTTACAGAGAATTGATTCTTAAAAACAAGTCGTTTATTACCTTCCTCATTTCGACAACGTTACCTGTGTTGCCAGTGAATATGCTCATTCGATAAGTGGCCGGTGTGAAAGAAAACTGGTTGTGAAAGGATGTACCATTATCAAATCCAATTCTTATTCTTTGTCCTTCGTTTGGAATATTGACGTTGATGTAGTTAAAGAGAGCATACGATGTTAGATGGTCAGTTATTAAGACGCACTGCACTGTCACTCGCTTCAAAAATATTTAAAATTAAAATTTGATAAAGAACAACAACGTACTTAATTGTTTTCAAAAGGAAAGATGAAAATATTTAGTATTTTGCCTTGAATAATTAGATTAAAAATAGGATATATGTACATACTTTCAAGTATTACACAATGAAATTTTGAAAAAAAGATTTTTTTTTCTGTATTAATTAAAGTTTACCACAGATGAAACTCTTCTTTTCAAAAATGATCTTTTTGTTTATCATGTTTAATTAAGCGATACAAACACTATACTTACATCAAATACACATTGCTATTTAAAAGAAACACACTTTATTTTTGACATGCTTTTGCATTTTTATCGGTTGCCCTTAGCTTGTTTTTTTTTTTAAATATGTGTTCTTGATTACCAAACATGTCTTCTATCATATCAATGAACCTAAAGGAAATATAATGTAAAATGTGAAGATAAAGAACCGTGTTCAATCTCATAAATCCAGCTAGTAAAACGAATCGTGCACAGAGCAGAAACACGCACCCCTGGAAACACAAGAGGAGGGATCAGGGGCCTAAGAGGAAAATGTAGTTAACGATGTTTTAAATCAAGTTGTCACATTCCAATCTTAAAGGAAAGACATAAATCGTACTGACAAGGATCAACAATTTCAACACTCTCTTTAATCCTTTCGAGAATACTGAAGTGCTCATTAAAATATATACAGGGATATATTTTTTTTTACAGGTGTTCGAAAATGGTGATGGTAGTGATCGATGATGAGGATAATGATAAACCTAATACAGAAGTGTTACGAATTATCTTTCTTTAAAAACACTTTTGAAATCTAAAAATTGATATAAAAATTTAAGAAAATATCTAAACTTACTGAACCGCTGTAATATGGGTAAAAGGTTGTATTATACCAAGTCGTCACTAACACCCATTTTGCTTGAAATGAAGATATTTTGCCGAACAACCTTACGTCAGAACTAGCTTCTTCGAGGGTTGATCCGGATGTATATATCTTATAGTACATATAACCGCCGTTATTTCCTACTGGAAATAAGTCAGTCCAGTACGCAGCCAGCAGAGGATACGTTGTCAGGTTTGTGGGTACATAATCATAAACTGGTTTTTGAAATGTAATAAGCCCGTTTGTACTCATCTGAAATAAAAGAAATTGAGAATGTTAAGCTTCATGAAGTCGAAAGATGCCAACGTGGTATTGTGATTCCATTAAATAATAATAATTTTTTTGTTTATACTAAGTATAACAGCAAATTACACAATCTTCCAAAGCGTAAGAAAGACATTTGAGTCTATGTTTAAATCTACATTATATATAAATTATGCGTATAAAGTTGACAAAAGAACGAAAATGTTGCATTATCGGTTCGTATGTTACAATGATGGAAAAGCCATAAACACTTTACCTTTGACACTTCTTCAAGAAATAGGCACAATAAAATCAGGATCTAACTAAATAAGAAGTAATATTGTAAATTACTGCATACATGTACTTGATTGAAATTCAGGTTTCCTACTGGAATTCCTTCTTTAACCTCCACTGTTGTTGTGATGTCATCACTAACCAGAACGTTTCCCTCTGGGACGTAATTGTACGCACCTTAAAAATACATCTGATATATCCAAATATAAAAAAACTACTTGTATCATTATTAAATAAACAAAAAAGTTCCATAGGTTTAACATTCAACTAAGTATTATGAGTTTTTCAACATAACATCAACTTATCCTCATCTGGACCAGTTTTTCTGTGACAGAGAAATGGAGAAATCGTTGCTTTATAAAAAACAAAATATAATGAATAATAAATATATTCCCAACATAGCCTAAGTAGGGGACATAAATTTAAGTATTTTGGTACTTGATTGGTGGCGACTTAGAGTCGTGCATGTTGCCTGTTAGAGGTGCAGGAATGAAAAAAAGACATTTTAAAAACGTTTAAGGTAAATGCATTTTTCACATATTCATATACATGTATTAATTTTTGATGCATCATAAGGCGCAAAACCAATATCACAGGCATTATGCTGATATTCAGTTGTGTGCTAATAGTTGCCCGCAGATGTCAGGTAGTAAAGAAGATTTTTAAAGATATAATGATTATTCATGATCAATAAATGACCAACAAGCCAAATCGTAAAGGACCTTTAGGATAAACATTAAATTTTTGAGCTTTTGTCAGGAATTCATTCTTTTCATGAGTATTTATAGGAAATAGAATGAAAATAAAATAATTTGGTAACTTTATGCACCTCTTTAAGTCTTGAGGAAGTAGTAAGAAAACTGTGCAATTTTGAGTGTTTTCATGGCAATTTTTTTCAAACTTCGGTTAGCTTAAATATCGTAATTTTTTTAAAAAAATAATTATGAACTAACTTTCAATTCTAAATCTTGAGATATTTTATGATTAACTTGATGCCTTCATCTTTTCACAAAGAGAATTTTGAAAATCGTCGGGTGCCACGTAACTATCAAACAAATTGACTCAAAAGTCGGCCATTGCTAGCAAAAATTCGACAATATTAACTGTCTGTAACTCTTAAACTATGCTAAATCAATGCAAATAGTGAATGTCTCTATTAACTTCAGCACATAAGCATTCAAAAATCTAATTTTTGAAATTACGTTAAAAGTTTTAAAATATAACAATTAGAGGACTCATCCCTCATTATTATTTTGCATAGAATTTGTCTGCTATATTTATAAGAATAAAAATAGCATTTTCATTTAATATAGCACTAATTTAGGAGGTTCTGACTCCACTCCTCAAGCATAAAGCCTAAAATGTTTGGAAATCATGAAATCCTCATCATAAGTATTCCTTGATATTATCATGTTTATGTGTTTTTTTTAGCATGATTTAAGGCGAAATTTGTAATACAAAAATGAGAGTAGAGGGAGAAAAGAATGGATGAACAAAATTTCAAAGTTTATTTATGCCCGACCTATTTGCAAGTCGGTAGCACTTAGATTAACATTAGTAACAATGGAAATATTCTTTGATACCTTTTAAAAATATGAATTTATTTTAAAAGTGAAAATTCATATTGAATAGTAAAAGATATCGAACATATGAAAAATAGTACTGTGTATATCCCATATACCAAGGGAAAAAAACTTACCAGCTATGAAAAAGTACACGGGAAACATGAATTTCAGAAAATGCACCATCATCCTTTGAAAAATTTCTTCTCGTCTCGTCCAATATTTAAAGACGGTGTGTCTGAAAAATACTGATAAACGTATCAGGACTTCTTACTTTATCATTCTAGTCTTTTTCAACAATAAAGAAACTGAATAGGGCCAAACTTTATCACTAGTGATATAAAACAGACACTGTCTGGGAAAGACTAAAGTTCAAGTTAAAATTTTTATGGCTTTTTCGATCAATTGCTAATAGAGCTTACACAATACCTTGTATTTTTCAGTGTTTTGAGGGTGCCAACCGAATGTAAAGCCACCACAGACATGTGCAAGTTATCGCTTGTTTGTTTAAGATTGTACCTTTTTTGTCCATATTGCAGATAAGAATGATCAAAAGAATAGGAAGTTTAAACAGTGCAATTTTTTTTTTATCTTTTATTCCAAATTGTATTTTTTTTCTAAACGCAGGGAGTGCTTTAAACGGCTATGTTGTAATCTTAAAGACCGATTCAAAGAATTGGTGCAAATAATAAAAATATGTTTTCAATTTACGAGCTTTTTGTTACTGAAATCCGACCCAGTACTTAACTGATCATGAAAAAACTAAATTATCATTTTTGTCCAGAAATAATCTTTAGAATTCCATGTCTTATGTGTTGCGATTTGACTTCAGACCGAATTTCGGGTGTGTTTGATTGTCATACATCGTCACAATTTCTTAACTTAATCTTTAATATTTAAGAAAAAAGGAAAATGGGCGCTATATTGATAGAGACATTAAAATTGTAATTAAGAAAAGTCAGAAGAGAGAGTCCAAAAGCAAAACCAACATGCCAGTTCTGCTTGTTTATGTTCAGTTATGTGTGCAGTGTTAGCAAGGAAATCTAAAGATAACGCACAGCTCCCATGTTCATAGTCCAATGAAACAATACAAATTGTGAGCAGAGCAAACCTGGACCTCTGAAAACAGAGGTGGGATCAGGTGTCATGGAGGAGTGAGCATTCCCTGTCGACCGGTCACAACCGCCGTGTCATCTTTGTCGTGATCGGGTAAAAGGAAAAATTCCGTAGACAATTCAGTGTACAAATAATGGCCTAACAATTCATATGAAAAACGTCAATCAGCATTCGACTTAGGGATAGATTGCATTTGCTAAAAAGGTCATTGTATCAATAAATAAAATTTGTCAAATGTTGACTTTCAACGAGATTGTTGACATCCTTGTACAGGTATAATGATTTTGTGAAACATTATCATTAATGTTGGAAGTTATAGAACTATTCAAAATTTAGATTTACATCACAGCCGAAAATTTAAAATGTTTCAAGCTTATGGCTAGCCAAAAAGTTCTTTAAGTTCTTATCAAGTTCTTTACAATAACGTTAGGAAATAACATAAATTGTGCCTAGTAAAGTGTAATACCGGAGTTTCGGGTAGATAAACCTAATGTAATACTTAGAAGACTAAGCTGCATAACCTACCTATCAAGCAATTAAAAAAAATTACCCGTATTTTGTAAATCGATGAAAATAAAGCAAAAATTCTTTAAAGGTGCCAATTCTCAGCTCAGATACCAATGTAAATGGAAATGTAAGTGATGCTTCGGGATATTAGTAATCAGGGTACAACACAATTTTTTGAAAAAAAAAAAAAATTTCTATGAACTTTTAAAATATATAAATATATTGTGTCGGGGGTGGGGTGGGGGGGGGGGGTAGTCTTCGCCTATTACGCGCATTTTGTGCGAACAACAAAACTTCAAAGTTTAACGGTATGCTACCGAGATACCGGGGGATGGGCAGAAATCACACTGTACGTAATTTTCTCTCTTAATAATTAAAATTAGATGTTGTCATAAGACAGTAAAACCTTCATGTAAATGTTGGCTTCTAAATGTACTCTCCTCCGTATCAGGTTAATTAATAACGAAGCCATAATAGTTATACGTGTATCAAATTGAGGATAAAATACTCTTGTGAGCATGTAGCCTCTCGTGCTTTCTTTAAACAAGAGGCCCATGGGCCACTACGCTCACCTGAGTAACTTCGGCCTTGTTGTTTTTCATCTGATTTCCCCCTTGTAGTACTTATTGTGGCCCCGCCCTAACCCCGGGGGTCATGATTTTAACAATTTAAAATTTACACTACCCCAGCATGCTTCCAAATATGTATCAGCTTTTCTGACCCAGTGGTTCTTGAAAAGAAGATTTTTACTTTATATTTCAATGTAAAACTTGGATTCCCTATTGTGGCCCCGCCCTACCCCCGGGGGTCATGATTTGAACAATTTAGAATCTACACTACCAAAGGATACTTCCACATAAGTATCATCTTTTCTGGCCCAGTGGTTCTTGAGAAGAAGATTTTTAAAGATTTTTACTACATATTTCAAAGTAAAACTTGGATTCCCTATTGTGGCCCCGCCTTACCCCCGGGGGTCATGATTTTAACAATTTAGAATCTACACTACCAAAGGATGCTTCCACTTAAGTTTCAGCTTTTCCAGCCCAGTGGTTCTTGAGAAGAAGATTTCTAAAGATTTTTTCTACATATTTCAATGTAAAACTTGGATTCCCTATTGTGGCCCCGCCCTACCCCCGGGGGTCATGATTTTAACAACTTAGAATCTACACTATCCTAGCATGCTTCCACATAAGCTTCAGCTTTTCTGGCCCAGTGGTTCTTGAGAAGAAGATTTTTTTAATGAACCCACCCTATTTTTGTCTTTTTTGATTATCTCCCCTTGAAAAGGGACTTGGCCCTTCATTTTAACAATTTAAACTCCCCTTCACCCAAGAATGCTTTGTACCAAGTTTGGTTAAAATTGGCCCAGTGGTTCTTGAGAAGAAGTTGAAAATGTGAAAAGTTTACAGACGGACGGACGGACAGACGGACAATGGGTGATCAGAAAAGCTCACTTGAGCTTTCAGCTCAGGTGAGCTAAAAATCACTTCCAATCTATAATTGAAGAATTTAATAAAATATGAATTCTGTTTTAAAAAATCAAGAAGAATTTTGTGTAAAAAAAAGAAGGAAAGAAATTGTTCCCCAAAATGAAAAGAAAAATAGAAAAATCTTATTGCACATCTACAGGAACCACCAATCATATTCCAAAATACGATTTAGCTACTGCTTACAATGTGAGAGGAATTCTCGTGGGTAACACGGTTTTGAGAAAAAAAACACCTCTTTTTCGACCCTCAGTTGATTCCTGGGTGAAAATAAAAAATTCGAAATTTTACTGCACATCTACAGGACACCGAGAATCATACTCCAAAAAACTACCGTGTTAAATATAAAAGAAGTTCAAAAAACTAGGTGTTTGTAGAAAAAATGTTTTTCGGCCCCCAAATAACCTTCTGGATGAAAATTCTGAAATCATTTTGCACATCTACAAGACACATCAATCATATCACAAAAGATGATTTAGAAATTGCGTAAATTTTAAAAGGAGTACTTCGAACCAGGTTTTGACCTAAAATTGACCCTGAGAATAAAAATACCTACACCTCATTGTTTATCTACAGGACATCACCAATTTCATTATAGGAGGAGTTCTTAAAAGAAGATTTTTGTAGAAGACCATGGTTTTTCAACTCTGAATTTGCCCTTACGATGAAAATGAAAATTCCGAAACCTTAAATCACATCTACAGGACACCACCAGTAATATATTACAAAGATGATTTGGCTTCTGCGTAAATGAAAGAGGAGTTTGAGGAAGAAGATAGTGTGATAGACAGACAGACAGACCAGGATAACATATTTACCAGAACCTTCTTTAGAAATTGCTGGTATATAAAACATGTTTGTAAAACAAAAATCACTGTAAGCTAAGTAATCCACTTTTCATGTGCAGAAGGCACAAGGGCCTTAACCGTCAGTTGAGTATATAATCTAACGATCCATATATGGTTTAAAAGAATTATAGTTCTAGAGCACTATTAGTTAACGCACTTCATTCCCCCTCGCATTGGCCTCTCTTAGTCTTTGAAGATAATTCAATTTACAAAGATACGATATTTTGTCCCATTTTCATTTATCTACAGTCGCCCGCGTGGCGCAGTGGTAAGAGCATCTGCTCTAGAGTCGCGGAGTAAGGAATTGATCTTTACGTCGTGGGTTCGAATCCCACTGTGGCACGTGGATACCAGTCCTTTGGATGAGACCGTATAAACCAAGGTCCCGTGTCGCAGAGGGTGCTGGCACGAAAAAGATCCCTCACTGCTCAATGGCCCTGAGTGTCGAGTGTAGGTCAAAATTTGCAGCTCTCCAACGGCAAGTGGTGGCCTCTCCATATGAGTGAAAAAATCTCGCGAGGGACGTTAAACAATAAAACAAACAAATCATTTTTCTATTATCATAAAGTCTACCTGACCTTGAAAAACTATTAAAGTACTTTTGTATTAAATATTATAAAATTTTTGTGTAATTCTGTTATTCAATTGATCTTTTAAGTTGCATTATTTACAGAGATTAACTATCATAGGTGAATAGCAAAGGAGAATAACTTCTTTCAATAGAAATTAATAAATTGTCCAAAGGGTACGGAATTTCGAAATCTGGTTTAAAAACACACTTGCTTATTAAAACTTTATATATTCTATATTTGTCCTCCTAGATGCCCAGGAACAGAGAAGAAGATTTTCAAAGAAATAGTCCATTTTCACTACAGATTCAATGTATCCCACCTTAATACCAGAGCCCCTGACCCAGGGACCAAGATATTCACAATTTTGGAAGAGGCACTCTTGCTCATCATAACCATGCACTTAATATGTTTCCTTAATAGCAATGGGCAGAAAAGAAGATTTTATTTGCAAAGAAATAATGCATTTCTACTACATATTCAAAAGAGCCTCACCCTAACACCAAAATCCCTGACCCCGGCTTATGAATTTCAAACTTTTTGGAAAGACATCCTTGCTCATCATAACCATGCAATTAGTGTTTCTGTTAAATACCCAGGGGTACAGAAGAAGATTTTCAACAAAAAAAGAATGCATTTCCACCAATATTAAATAACCCCCCCCCCATGAACCCCTGAACCTGGGGCTGCAATTTCACAATTTTGGAAGAGGCGTCCCTGAATCCATGAATCTGGGGCCACACATTTCACAATTTTGGAAGAATCATCCTTGATCATCATCATAACCAAGCACTTAATTTATCTGCTAAATACCCAGGAGCATAGAAGAAGATTTTCAAATAATTAATGTAATTTCAATATAACAACAGAACCCCTGACCCAAGGGCCAAGATATTCAGAATTTTGGAACAGGCGGGCTTGCTCATCATAATTATATACTTGGGTTCTCTGCTAAATACTTGGAGCATAGAAGAAGCTTTTTAAAGAAATAATGCACTTTCACCATTTAATCAATAGAGCCCCCCTCCAGCCTCCCGCAGAACCCCTAACCCTGGTGCCAAAAAAAAATTCACAATTTTGGAAGAGGCATCCTTGATCATCCTAACCATGTACCTAGTTTATCTGCTTTATATACAGAGGAGAGAAGATTTTCAAAGAATGAATGCATTTTCACTCTATGTTCAATAGAACCCCGTCCTAACTACAGAAACCCTGACCACAGGGCAATGAATTTCACAATTTTGGTAGAAGGCTCAATGCTTATTAAAATGTCAACAGTTTAACTGCTAGACGTCCAGGAGTAAAGAAAAAGATTTTTAAAGATTGCACTCATTTTGATGGTTTTGGCCCCACCCCTAAGGTCCCAGGGGTGGGAGAGGCAGGGACCATGAAATTCGCAATTTTTTCCCCTTCACTCATATATGTTCTATGCCAAAATTGGTTTGAAATTGGTTCAGCGGTTGCAGATAAGAAGCCAAAAATGTTCAAATATTAACGCACAACGCACGACGACGGACGAAAACGAATAGCAATAGGTCACCTGAGTGACTCAGGTGACGTAAAATGTAAAAAAAAAAAATTCAGGATGGGTTTGCTTGTTTTCAATCAACATTGGGAAACATTTTTTTTCCTCAACATTATAAACATTAACAAAAGTCACGTCGGCAAACATATAAATCAGATAGATAGGAAAACTACTCAATTGAAAAGTCAACATAAATTTGAACATTGGGTAAATGAAGAATGTTAAAACATCTCTTGTTAACGCATTGCAACAAAAGTCGTATATTTCAGAACTACACAAAGGGTTTTGCAAGTATTGTGAGATTTAAATAAGAGATGCTTGCAAATTCATTCAGACTTTGCTACTTGTAAAAATCAGGTGTCGATACACAGTTTTTGATATTACTTACCTTCAAACAATGATTTTCACAACTAAGTCTCTGTGAGGCATTTCATTTGCTCTCATAATCACAAGCTTTATAGAAAAAAATTATGAGTAGAGCATCTCTCTATGTAAAAAATTAACTCTCAAAAACACACTGAGAGAGAGAGAGAGAGAGAGAGAGAGAGAGAGTCATTTTCGTTAATTTTGCTTAAAAAGCCTAAGAAAATATTGATAAAATTATCTTGCTCTCAATTAATAATATCCAGAACATATATATTTTTCTCTCACTTAAAATTTTGTAATTTTTCATCTGATTTATACCAGATATGTGGTTTATATAAGAAGTTTTCAAGTCAAGACCCAAATTTTTTCAAGGGGAAAGAGGACAATTTATTTTTTTTTCCTGTTCTCAAGGCTAACGAAATTAAAGCAAATGTACGTCATAAATATGTAATACAAATACTTTTACTCATACAATATACATCTACATATACCATAGTTTTTGCAAAGAGAATTGTAATGTATAAGATAAAACAATTTTAAGTATTTATTCTTTTCGTACATGTAAAATGATCAATATTTTTAATGAATTCTAATTCTGTTTCCGTCAGTCCCCATTTAGCTTTCCTTTCATCATATTCAGCAAAAAATGCATGAAAAGAGCTGGATGCGGTTAACAAGACATCATCGTATGTGTATTTGTCTCCAACTCCTATCGAAAAAACAGTGATTTGATCATAGGTTAACGCTTTTACCACTTCAGCAGAATTTGTAGCATTAGAATCGAATCCAGTGTAAATATGTATGATAAGTTTTCTGGACGATTCTCGCGCACCAGTTTCTGGGGACAGGAGATGAGATCTTGTGAATTCTAAAGCTTTTGCTACATTGGAACTGACGTTCTGAAACCCATGGCTGTCTTGAGAAACGCTCAAAAGTTTGCTAGCAAAACTATTAAAATCCGTAGATTGATTAAGCTGCATTAATAGATGAGGTTCGTTTGAGAAATAGACTGCTCCTAGTTGGGTATGGTCCGGTGCTAGCACAACAAATGGTTCTAGGTGCTTTAAAATTGAAAAGATGATGCTTAAACTTCCAGAGAACGCACTAAGTGGTATAATTGAAGATATATCAAGAACAAACATAATATCCACCAGCTCTTGATAATAGCAAGCTGAAAATTAAGAAAAATTTAGATTAAACAAAGACAAAAGAACTCAAGGTAATTTGAATTTTAAAGTTTAACAAACATGCTTTTCTTACACGGTATTTTATGATTTTTTGAGTAATGTATGTGTCCAATGAACATCAACATTTACGTAACAAATATATATAGTTAAATAATACCTGCACATTTTTCGTCCATCAACCTTCTTACTAGTTGATAGAATGGGTTAATTGAAATGTGACTGAACACATCCTTATATCTCGGATCTCCCGACATTTTCTTAAAACCAACATGTCTGACGTCATTGCCAAACGATACAAACATCAAAGCATTATGGGAACTTGAATTTAGCAGACGGGCCCGCAACTCTCCTGTTCCGTTTATAGCAAGTTGTAGATTAGATGGCATCCCGTCCGTGAAAAATAACACAAACTGGTTACTTCCCTTAGTGACATTCAGGAAATTCTTGACGGTGTACGATGCATTGTGAATGTCAGTTGTTCCATTCATGAATGAAAGCTTAGATATTTGTTCAAGAAGTAATGTTTTATTGTTTTTGTAGGAATCAAACTTTATGTCAATGTTTGTATTTCCCCCATATGATGCAACCGCTATCTTGAATTTATTATCTGCAAGAGTTACTCTTGAAACGATATCAGAGATGAAGTCTTTTTGTTGCTGAAATATTTTTCTTGATGTGCTAAAAGACGTATCAACAACAAATACTAGTTGTACTGGCTCCGTGTTACACAAGTCTGAAATTTTTTTTTTACAATGATAGTGTTGTTTTACAAACAATATAATTGAAAGAACAAGTTTAAGCATTAAATTTTTTAGTTTATGGCAGAAAATGACAAATTACTCACCTTTTTCACAAAATACCCCATACCAGTTATTAACACAATCACAATAGAACGATCCTATCGTGTTCTGGCATGAACCGTTATTTTTACAAGGGTCTGACAGGCATTCATTTATATCTGAAATGTGTAAACAATTTTCACGTATATTACTACATAGTTTTTTTTTAATTGTTCATCTGTATACATATAAGATACATATATATATGCTTTGACATAAATATTGCTTGTAATATAAAATTTTTATCCTAGGTTTACTTTATATAAAAAATAAAATGTTAGATTTTAACCCAATTCACAAAGGGCTCCGGTAAATCCAGCCTCACAAGTACAATTGAACCCTCCTTCAAAGTTGTAGCATGTTCCATTGTTCTCGCATGGGAATTTCCGGCAATCATTTATATCTGAAGCAAAAATTCATTACAGTTTGCAAGGTTTTTTTTTTCTACATGATCTTTTAATATTGATCGCATTTAGTTTAATGGAATTGAAATTTTTAACATTCTGCATAGAAAAATCTACCTTCTTGACAAACACTTCCTGTCCAGTTTGAAGTACAGTTACAGTTAAAGGATCCTTTGTTATTGATACATTGGCCGCCATGTTTACATGGCGGCTCTATTGTCCACTCTGTGCATTCGTCAACATCTTGAACCAAATAAACGTTTTGAAATAAAAAAGACCAACCTCAATAATTACATGTGCATTAGCCAAATTTATTGTTAAAAAACTATTGTCATAAATCAAGAAAATACCAATGAAATTTACATTTTTTCTCTAAGCTAAATTTATAACAAAAATCCAGTAGTTAAAAATGTATGGATAAGGAGACATATCCTACGGTATGTCATTGAAGCTGCGTTTTATTTTATCAAAAATTTGATTGAACAGAGTGGAACAGAGTGGTAAAGCATGCAAATTTTTCTGTGTAACGGTTATATAATTTTATGAATGTATGATTGTCACCTATTTCACAAAGTGCTCCTTTATATCCAGGTACACAAGTGCAATTGAATCCTCCATCAAAATTAAAGCATGCTCCGTTGTGTTGACATAATGATGGTAAGTACCTGCATTCGTTTACATCTAAAATAATACATAGATTTCTGTTAGTTAACTAAACTTTTTTTCTAGAAAAGATCTTCATAATTTTTTTATTGGCATTTCTAGTTTAAAAGGACTTTGATATAATCTAATATACCAGATAATAAAAAGCGGTTTTAAGGAATTCAAAAAGAGTTTTATAATTACCATCCTGGCAGGTACTTCCGGTCCAGTTTGAAGTACAGTTACAATTAAATGAACCTTTGGTATTAGTACAAAGCCCTCCATGTTTACATGGATCAATCCATTCTAAGCACTCATTAACATCTTCAAATATAAAGATACTTAGTGTTTATAATTAGCATTTGTAAAAAGACAAAAAAAGTCAGATGATATATATATATTTATAACATTTTCAACAGTGAAATACTGTGATTTATTTATTGAATAAAAGTGATATTCTCTCACAGTGTGAAAGGATACCAAAATGATATTCTCTCACAGTGTGAAAGGATATCAAAGTAAGTAAAAAATAATTTCTGGCCTGTCATAAGATAGAGATAGTAACTAAGCATCTTGATAGAGCTAAAACTGCATATTTCTTCCCAAATATGTTGCTAAAGTCCATGCTATGTAATGTTTTCAATCACACAAGTGCTAAGCTATGACGTCTCAACCGCTCAACTATGACGTCAACTGACAAGCCTATGACACTGTGTTAAGAAAAGACAGAGGCAAAGGGAAAATCAAAGAAAATGTAATAAACAGAAAATTCAATGTTTTGTAGATGAATATGGAATTTATTTCACTCGTGAGACAGGATTTTTTTTTATATTTTCACTCGTGCTTCGCACTCGTGAAAATATCAAAAAATCCTGTCCCACTTGTGAAATATATTCCATATTCATCTACAAAACATTGAATATCCTCTCTCTCTCTCTCTCTCTCTCTCTCTCTATATATATATATATATAGAGAGAGAGAGAGAGAGAGAGAGAGAGAGAGAGAAAGCACAAAGAAATTCACTTTTTTACAAGGATACCCACTTCCGCCCCAGCCCGGGGTTGAAATCTCGACCTACGGAATCTGTCTCCTAGCAGTACAGGAACAGCGCGCTAGACCGCTCGGCTATCTAGGCAAGTCAAAAACTTGCTTTCGATGCCGATGGAATTCTCGCGGCGCTGTCCTACACTACACGGTCATTGAGAATGGAAGTGAAATACAGTTATTTGGACATTAGTATTATTAGAGGATCGTTACCAATACACGTTGTAATGAAATTAATTTTTATTTATAAAGCACATTTTACAACAACTCTTAAACTAACATAACTGCCCTAAGTGAAGAAATATTAATATAGAAAGCAAAAAGAAATTCACTTTTTTACAAGGATATATATATATATATATATATATATATATATATATATATATATATATATATATATATATATATATATATAGTGAAACTGTAGTAAAAGTCCACGGTATACGTAGGTTATAAATTAAAATAAAATCCAAGATAAACAAACAAGTTCACATTTAATTATTACACTTGTGAACTTGTTTGTTTATCTTGGATTTTATTTTAATATATATATATATATATATATATATATATATATATATATATATATATATATATATAATTACCCCCATCACAGTTGTATCCGGCGTTCCCCTCAGTACAATGACATTTGTAGCTTCCACAGAGATTTTCACATGTTCCTCCATTTTTACAAATTTCAGGTTGCGTTACACATTCATTTACATCTTTTGAAAAAAAAGAGATTAACAGAATGAAATAAATCACAGGAAAAGAAAAAAAATTTAAAGAGTGAATAAAGGAAAAAAGGCAAACTCCAATACCTTCATCGCAATAAATCCCTGTGTAGAAACTGTTACATTTGCATCGGAAGGAACCGTCGGTGTTAATACAAGTTCCATTATTTCTACATCCAATCAAAGAACACTCGTTAATATCTATAAAAGTGAAGGTATCAATACTTATACAAGAATTAACTCAAGCTAAAAAATCCCTCGATTCATGCTCCTTCCGCCCTACAATCTTTCCTTTAACTCTTTTCTTAGTTGAAGCATGTTTTGCACTGACATAAACAGGTTATTCAAGTTTGAAAATTAACCTTTCCAGATAATAATATCTGTTTAGAACATTGTACATGTATTTCTTGTTAACATGTTCATTGTCCTTCCCCTAAGGATGAAAATACATGACATTACCAAAAAGCAGGAATAAAGCAGCGATTTTATGCCAGATGAAAAGAAATTAAATGATTAACACATTCAATTTAGAGAACATATATTTTACAATTGTTCCATTTTATATTTAGCTACCTTTAAATATATTTTTGAAAGTTCATGCAACTGCAACTTTTGGTACAATATTTTTGTAACATACTTGACTATGAACGTACTTTTCTTGAAAACATTGATCAGTTATTCTCTTCACCATAAGTGATATAACAAATTGTTTTTTGAAAACCGATTGCAACCTACCTGTCTGACATTTGTCTCCCGTCCATTGTGTACCACAGTAACAATGATAACTTCCCTCCGAGTTGATGCATGTCCCATTATTGCTGCATGGATTCTCTTTGCATTCGTCGATATCTGAAACAAATTTTTAATGCCACGAATGCTAACAATGCTCAATCATAGCAGTCTTTTATATTCTATGTGTATTTTTTCCTCATAATACCGTATGATTATATTATATATAAACTATCACCTTCATTGCAAAGGGTCCCATTAAATCCTTTCTCACAAACACAAGTAAATCCTCCATAAAGATTTATACAGATTCCGTGATGACATGGATTAGACAGACACTCATCATAGTCTGATAAAAGATAACAAAATATTCTAAATGATGATTGACTTTTTCTATAATCTAAGCTAACACATTCAAGAACTGAAAAGTCCTTAGTTTGTTGAGACTTTGTCCAAAAATGTGAATGTCAGTACGTAAAAACATGCAATAGGATGAAGAAAAACAGAGAAAATTTCTTAGGCTTGAAATACACTGAAAGTCTGTTTTGAAATGGTAAGAGACCCTTTAGTATACTACCTAGTTCACAGTTTCTCCCCGTTCTCTCCAATGGACAGTGACAAAGGTACGAGCTGGCAATATTTTCACAGGTGCTATTACCATAGCAGGGATTTCCCAAACATTCATTTACATCTGTGAAGAATACTCAATAAATATAGTTTGAAGAGAATTTCAAAGGTTTATCTTTTGGCAAAATGAATTACGGATGTTTGTTTAAAACCTTGTTGACACGTGCTCCCAGTCCAGCCATAATTGCAATTACAGGAAAATGATCCATATTCTGGTGTGCATGTAGCATTATTTTTGCATGGAGATGAAATACACTGATCGACTTCTAAACAGACAAGAAACAACGTCAGCAATAAATAATGTACACAATGTTCTTGTTCCTTTATATAAGAATTTAAAATATTCTTAAAACCAAGGACAACTTTCTGATATCTATTGAAGATACTAGTATGTGATTTGGCTTGCAACAAAAGTAAAAATTTTACCTAGGTCACATTGTGAACCTTTGAACTCATCTGTACAGGAACACACGTAGCTTCCATTAACATTTGTGCAGTTCCCATTGTTGAAACACGGTTCAAACATACATTCATCAATATCTGCAACAGTAAAATGGACAAAATATCTTTACAAATAATTTTTAAATTCATTACACATTGAATTCAAATGATCATACCGTAACCTACCTGCTTCACAAAATTCTCCTCTGAATCCAGGTAAACAAACACAAGTGAAGTTGCCGAGTGCAGATTGACAAGATCCATTGTTTTGACAAGTAATGTTCTCACAGAAGTCAATAGCTATGATGAAAAATATTCAACAAAACAAAATTATATCTCAATATACAAATTATCTTTTTTTTTTTTTTGGGGGGGGGGGGGGGCAAATGTATACAATGTAATGTAAATTATGCATACTTAAAAAACCAAAAATTTCAGTATACATGTATACCTGATTCACAGTTATTCCCCGTCCACCCTAGTCTACACAGGCATGTGGAGGAATTGTTATTGCCTTGACTGCCCAAACACAGACCATCATTTTGGCAAGAATTGCTGCAAGCATCCATTCCAACTAAGCAAAGATACATATATGTTCGGTATTCAACCACTAAGCTGATATGAATTAAAGACAAAATTAATCTGGTTAAACTATTTTAAGACAACTAGTCAAGAATCAGTAGTGTGCTCGAATACATCCAAGGAAAGGGAGGCAATAATTTGATGATAAACCTTTATTAAACCAATTCAAAAATATTTGACAGACAATACCATACGTAAGAGTAATAGGAAACAATTCAAATGTCGTCCTATTCTTATAGTCTATTTCAAAACATCATAAAAAAAATCCAAGTCAAATATCACCTACCAGTTGTGCAGTTTTCAAACGAATCATTGCAATGTATACATTCAAAACCACCAAGTGTATTGTTGCATGTGTAATTTTCTGCACATGGTTCCAAATCACATTCATTAATATCTGGAATAAAGATTACATTTCATTATTTTTATTGAAAGGAAGGTCTTTTTACACTATAAGCTTATACACTTTACTAAGACTATTTAATATGATAAGCAGAATAATTGCAAAAAAAAATTAATTACCAGTTGTGCAGTTTTCAATAGAACCATTGCAGTGTATACACTCAAAACCACCAAGTGTATTGTTGCATGTGTAATTTTCTGCACATGGTACCAAATCACATTCATTAATTTCTGGAATAAAGATTACATTTCATTATTTATATTGAAAGAAGGTTTTTTTTTTACACTATAAGCTTATACACTTTAGTGCGACAATTTTATATAATAAGTAAAATCTTTACAAATATACTGGTCGATTAAACTACAAAACACAGTAGTTGTAAACTGACCTTGGTCACAATTTACTCCTGTAAATCCAGGCGAACACAGACATGCTGTTGAGGATCCATGGACAACACAGGTGCCATTGTTTTGACAGTTTACAACATCACAGGGACCTTTCACAAAGAATTAAAATCGTGTAAGCTCAATGCAGCTAGAAAAATGTCATTTGCTGATGTCTGCAAACTATAAAATTTACTTTGCACCTTTGGAGAAAAAATCTTCTCCGTTTGATATTTTTATCTGTAGAAAACTTGTTCTTTACTGACAAAATGATCATATTTTTATATATAAAAACATGGCTTTATAGCATGAAATAATATCTACCCATATGCTAAACCCCAGTTCAAATTGTGTACCTAAATATCATAATGTGTTACCAAATTGAGAATATAGCTGTCGAACAGCTCAAACTGATTTTCAAAAACAGTTGTAAAGTTAAGAAACTCATATTACTATGCACTCTCGCATGAAATCAAATCTATTTTTCTTTATAATGAAATGTCTGTGTGTTTGAGATACACTTTATTTTATGATAAAGGAAAATGATATATATTTAGGTAGATTTAGGTTGAATATTAAGGTTGAATATAGTTGTAATAAATTTTACCTAAATCACAAAGTCTGCCTCTGTATCCTGCCTGGCAGACGCATACAAAATTTCCAGCTGTGTTGACACATAGACTGTTGTTAATGCAGGGAGAAGACAAACACTCGTTTATGTCTGCAGATTATGTAGAATGTGTTTTATCATATTAACATTTTGAAATTTATTAAATATATAACACAGGTAGCTTTGTCTCATGTAACATTCCATCAAAAAAACTCTCACATTATTCATTTTTCTTAAAAATTCGCATGTAAACTTCACATGGATTTCTTTTACTGTTTTCCCCAAGTGAAATGTATTCCCTTTTTTTACATGAAAATTATTTGCCAGTATAATTTATCATGCTTACCATTTGTACAGTATTGTCCCGTAAATCCAGGGGAACAACCACAGGTGGCACTTCCATTAGTGTCATGACAAGTTCCATTGTTCCAACATGGATCATAAAAGCAGGCAGGGAGGACTGAAAATAAACAATTAGAGAGGTTATGTTAATTTTTAAAATTGCAAAAAGTTAAGTAGATAATTAAGCAAATTTTAAGAACCTGTTTCACACATATCTCCTTTATAACCCTGAGGACAGTGGCATACGAATGTGTCATTTATTAATTCACAGACCCCACCATTTTTGCATGGAGAGTCACTGCATGCATTTCTTTCTAAAATCACAAAAAGAAAAACTTAGAAAGGAAAGTCCAATTTATCACTGAATTTGATTATTTATCTATAAAAAAAAAAAACGTTCACACATAATACTAGACAGAGAACCTACCATTCTGACAAAATTCTCCCTTCCAATGATGTCCACACGTACAGTTGAACGAGCCATGGGTATTACTGCATGACCCGTTATTCAGACAGGGAGTGATTTCAAGACCACATTCTTGGATATCTGTTTAATGGAATTAAATTAATTTATCTGTCAATTTTGATTAGTGACCTCATTTTTAGTTCTCAATTAAGAAATTCTGAAAAAAAGATACCTTCTTTACAGTGACGTCCGATATACCCTTGTCTGCTGTCACATTTACACGTAGAAAAACCTTGCTGATTTATACAGATACCCCCATTGTGGCAGATTAGAGATGTCCTACATTCATCTACGTCTGAAAAAAAATGAATGGGCTGCAATATCATATAAATTTATTTTATTGTGTGTAAGCTATTAAGAGTGATTATCTACCTGTATTACAAAGATTTCCCGTATAACCGTGATGACACTGGCAGAAGTAACTTCCGGGAACATTGTAGCAAACTCCGTCGTTATTACATGTTGTGCTGTCACATTCATCAACATCTGTAAATTGTAATGAAAGAGTGGACATAAAAGGAATGACATGTCTTAAATAGATATATAGCGAACAGCATTTTCGGTTAATTTGTATCAAAATGGTTGAATTAAGCAACATAACAGACCTTTTTCACAGACTGACCCAGTCCATCCACTGACACAGTTGCAGGAAAACGACCCTGGGTTGTTCACGCAGCTTCCTCCATTGCAACATGGCGATGATGTTGCACACTCATCAATATCTGATTTATTTTTTGTTGAAAAGAAAGGTTTAGATAATTTCTTATAAATCGAAAGCATAATTGGATTGAAGTGATTTAAGTTAGTGGCTGTTGGTCTCGTTCAATTGAATAAAGATTTATACCTTGATTGCAATTCTGACCGCTCCACCCGTTAAGACAATGGCAGTAGAAAGAACCATCTGTATTTACACATGTCCCATGATTACAGATACCGACGGATAAGCATTCATTTATATCTGGAACAACAGTTTTTCAAAAAAAGTTAATGCTACATGTAGATATATGAGGTAAAGACGATAATTGATATCGAAGACACAATATTTATATGAGTCAAAATCAGAAACATGCTAAATAGCTAAAATAAATTTGAAAGATATTAAAAGTTTGAAACATTGGTGCATTGTCATGTTCCAAGATTTAATTCACTAGTCGGAAGTAAATACAAAGTGTTGGGAGTAAAAACAAATACACATGTACAAAGTGATGGAAGTAATTAATACAAAGTGGTGGAAGTAAATACAAATACAAAGCAGTGGAGGTAATTAACACAGATACAAAGTGGTGGGAGTAAATACAAATACAAAGTGTTGGGAGTAAATACAAATAAAAGTGGTGGGAGTAAATACAAATACAAAGTGTTGGGAGTAAATACAAATAAAAGTGGTGGGAGTAAATACAAATATAAAGTGGTGGGATTAAATACAAATACAAAGTGGTAGAAGTAAATACAAATACAATATAAATGTGGTGAGAGTTTATACAAAAATTAGATAAAGTTTGAAATTTGAACATAACAAGGAATTGAATTTAATCGTTCAATAAAGATCCGTGTTCATTTATGAATTCATTGTCTGCAGGTGTATCTGCCTCTTTGTAAAGCTTTCATTGATTAAACGACGAACTCTCAGAATTGAACGTGTATGTTATATTGGCTGCTTTAAGATATTACAAATGATTACATATATATAGAATCTCCCATGATTTGTAGTTGGATATGACTTTTATCCAACGAGTTGTGTGTTTTTTATCCCCGAGCCTTGGCGAGGGGATAAAAAACACACAACGAGTTGGATAAAAATCATATCCAACTACAAATCATGGGAGATTCTTTTTATCCCATGTTTAATACTTCACAACCAATGTTTTACACTGTTTTATATAGGACTCCACTTTATTTTACTTCATCGCGCTAACGCAAAAACCATTGTGACGTCACAACTGTGGATTATGAAAAAAATATCCAATGAGTCATATCCACGGGATAAAGGGGTAAACATGGGATAAAAATATATACGGAATTATAGCATGAAACATTTAAACTTCATATTTCTTTAAAGAAAAGGACTTGTACAACTATGCTAACTATATATCGTATTATTCATGCATTAATAGTGATTATGAGTTTTACACTTTCTATCGAACATGTTAATTTGAAATAAAGTATTTTATAGCTTGATGCTTATATTTTTTTTTTGCAATATATTAAATCACAAAGATAATAAGATGTATTCAATTTGTTCTTTTATTTGTTTAATATTGATCAATCAGACATCTTAACTCAACATTAATTTTGTTTTAAATCCAAAGAAACAGGAAACACTTATACAGTTATTTAAGACCAGCGTAAATGTTCATAAATGGTGTGTTGAAAAACTAAGAAGAGTATTATATTTTGTATCTTCACATGTCGTTGTTTATGATTTATCATATTTTGAATATTGTCTATATCCACAATTTGCAATAATACCTATTCCAAATTTATATGCATGCAAATGGGATATATCTCTATTTGAAAATGCTTGATTCAGATAATAATTTTTTATTGCCCTTGTTACACTTTTTTTATTATTAAAGTTTTATAGAATTTCAATATTTTTTTTTAATATTACATGTATATCCTTGCGCATAAGTTTATATTTCCTGATACATGTAATATCTCAAACTTTATTATAGCTATAAATGCTTTATTCAAGCCTGTATATTTCATGCAAATACCTATATTGCAATGTTTTCCCATCCACCCCATTTCACATGCACATTTATAACTTCCATCGGAATTATGACACTGTCCATGATAACAGGGCTGTGCATTACATTCATTAACATCTGTTGTAAAAGAAGTTATTCAAAAATAATTAATGAATCATCAAAAAGATACTTGAATAAGCGATAAACAACTTTTGATTTCTTTTGAAAAATTCTTTTCTCTCTAAAATCAATCTTCAAAATGTCTTTTCTGTTTTGAAAAAAAAGTTATGCAAAAATAATTAATGAATCATCAAATGAAAGAGATTCTTCAATCAAAGAAAAACAACTTTTAATTTCTTTTGATCCACAGAAAAGACAGTAATTAGTCTGCACCAAAATAAACTGACAGGTACACACCTACTTCACAGATCGGTCCTGTCCAGCCGGCTGCACAGATGCAAGAAAAGGATCCCTGGTTATTTACACAGCTTCCGCCATTTTGGCATGGTGATGACGTACACTCATTAATGTCTGTTCGATTTGTTTCAAAGAAAAGTAAAGAAAACATTTTATTTAAAAATAGAATAAGTAACATTTTTGTTTGCTTGTTTAGCTTTAGTTTTGGTTTGTTTTTGTTGTCTGTTTTGCTGAATTTTCCTTTGTTATTGTTCTTTGGGTTTTTTTTCCTTGTGAGATAAACTTTGTTCTAGATAAATACTGCAGATAACTTTTTATCTGCGAAAACTTAATTTTGCGTAACTACACGAGACCAATTACTGGCAAAAATTTCAATCTAGCATATTTTAATTCTTAAAGAATATATGCAACAATAACCAGAAAAATTGAAAATTTTGACTCGCTTTTAAAAAATTAGTAAGGTCTGACGAAAAATTGGTGATGTACAGTAAAGATCTAGACCTTTGACTGAGGTTTACCGTTTTCACAGTGTTGTCCCGTCCATCCTACTTGGCAAGAACAGGAGTAACTCCCCTTGGTATTGTGACACGTCCCCTTATCACATGGATAGGTCAGACATTCATTTATATCTATTATACCAAATTAAAAGTGTAAGAGAAATCAAACAAACTGTTCTAGGTTAAAAGTGTTAGAGAAAGTTAAGAATTCCTAAACTAATTAATTGCTGTATAACCTTACAAATTGTTAGGGACATACACATTGTTTTCTTCATTAATTTCTGTTTTCAGGTTGTTTGTATATTATAAGCCAATTGAACGTTCTTTACATAAAAGTCTAATTACAATGAAAGTCATAAATATTGTGAAATAAAATTTACTGATCAAGTTCATTAGTGAACAAATACACAGTGCATGTGTATATGATAAATCATGAAACTTAATTTTAGTTAGTTTCTTCAATTTTACCTTATTTTCGCAATTTTGTGCTAAATGCTTCTTACCCATATCGCATCTTTTCCCAGTAAAGCCAGCCGGGCAGTTACATCTAAAATCTCCGTACAAGTCAACACAAGAACCATGAACACAGGGTCCCGAGGCACAGTCATTCCCATCTAAGGAAGAAACCAAATGAACATAAAAATGTTCTTAACTGTTTTAATTAAATATATATCTAAACTTCAGAAAAAAAATTCTTGAAATAAAATATTTCAATAAATATTAGATAGTACCTGCCGCTACTGTGTAAAACCAAACACGATTTAATCCTAAAAATAATTTTTAAAAAAACATAATTAATGATTTAGATTTACATCCATGATGCAGTATATTTAAAGTATAGAAATAAATATCTTAAATGAATTCAAATACATGTAAATGCGTGCTTCATCTATGTCTCTAAAGAAGCAATAAAGCATATATTAGGTCCAGAAAATGTAAAATTACCTGTGTTTCCCACGATTTGACTCATTTTATATGCATTGTCGGTAAATGAGTATGGATTGTCGAAGGGTGAACCGTTATAGAATCCTATTCTGATATTGTGCCCTTGATTGATAATGTTTACATCGATGTAGTGAAAAATGGTGTATGTAGAGACATGATCCGTTATCAGGACACACTGGACAGTAACCGTCTAAATGAAAATAAAACAAAGAGGTGTCATATTTTTACATTCAGTGTAATGTTCGTTATGAAATCCATTGGAAATCTACAACATTCAACCCCTATAACTTACATGAAACCGGTATAATAAATAATTGGAACTGTATACACTTTCAATATAGTAAACACATCCTCCCTTTCAAAAGCAAGCCAGATTTTGCTAACTCTCAAGATTAAAAATTAAGGTTAATTTGTTCAAACTGAGATATAGATATCTGAACATAAATAAGAAAATCTGTCATTTTTTCAGTATCTTAAAATCAATAAGGCGAAGTTGAAATATGTGCACACTGCCAAAAAAAAAATCAAATGATATTGCCCTGGTGGAGAGGCCCAGAGGTTTCCTTAGTAAGGTACGTCAAATAAGCAATTTATGTCTCGTTTAAAGTCTTCGTTTCGCAAATTCTATGGTCCTTACAATGACCAAGTTAGCATTTGCAATCATTTACAATCTATCGTAATTATTAAACTTATCATTATCAATGAAAGGTTACAATCATGGACACAGGGCAAAGTCACAAAACAATGAATCAGAATATTGGACCTGATAAGCTAAACAATTAATAAAATCTATGAAATTAGTGAAGGAAAAAAGATCTCTTTCTTTTTTCCTGTCTTCTTTCTGAATTCATCATTTTAAACCAAAATTAAAATATTAAAAATTAAAACCTTAAAACTTAAAAAATAAAACAAAAGTCAAAATTAAGAAATTTAAGAAAGGTTTAGTAATTGATTGAATATTTAGGATTTACAATTTATACTGATACTTCAACCGAAAAGCGCAAAAAAGTTTACTCACCATCTTCAATTCCAATTAACAGATTAACAGAGGACACAGCAAGAAGTCAAAATATGATTTAAATTTTTTAAACAAAGTTTAAATATACAGGAACAGTCCTATATTGCTCAAGTAGTGTGTAAACTTTCCCCGATATTGTTGTTAACAGAGACATTCCAACCGTATACAGATTTGTTCCCCTGTTTTCGTAAAATTGCCGTCGAATTCTCTGTTTTTCAAGAGCAATTAATCTTTTTTGCATATAAAAACATATCTTTTTTAATGTCCACAAGACTTCTAAGCTCCTGACTTAAATCTATTAAAAATGACATGACTATCTTCATATAGAGATTTTTTGAATATGCAGAAATGAACCTCACTGAGTTTGAAAACTACTCACAGTAGACCGTCACCTGACCTGTTGCAGACAGGTATATACCCCTGAGGGTATAATTATCACATCAGGATTTGTACAAAATGGCAACAATCAGGATTAAATCATCGTTATCTTGATTAAATAACAAGAAACACATAAAGATTTGTAATGAAATAGATAGAGACACAAAGGGTTTAATTTCTCGTGTGAAACATGTACATGTACTAAGTATGATGTTAAACTTTTCCCTCGCCATTTGATTTTTTCCCTCGCTTCGCTCGGCACTAAATCTCATGGTACTCGGGAAAAGTTTACCAAAATATAATTAAGTTGATTGACGTTTTTCATACATATTGTTTGGTCATTATTTTCACACAGAATTGTCTACAGATTTTGTTTCCCGATCATGACGATGAGCGATTGTGACAAGGGAAGCTTACTACTCCATGGCACCATCCTACCTCTGACATTTTTGGAGATACATGTTTGCTCTGTTCCCAATTTGCATTATTTGAAATGGACTTTTGAGGTGGATTAATGTTCGTTATCTTCATATTTCAACTTCATAAAACTGATAGATTGTTAGTAATGCCTGAATCTTCTACGTTTTGTATACAGATTTGAAAATTTCTCTTGTTGGAGCTACGTAATTCAAGATATGCATGGGTTCCATGCCTATGTACTTTTCTTTATATGAATATTATATCAATATTGTTTATTTATTTTTGGCAGTTGTATCTTTACTTAATTCAATTATTATTATCTTCAAATCATTTTCGCCTTCTTCAAATGACTTAAAAAGAATTAAATTCCAGTTTTATTTCATTTTGAGAAACATGTAAGAAGAAATGATCAAAGGAAGTCTCCTTTAAAAAATGACTTCGAAATAATCCTTCCATTTTTTTTTTTTTTTTGAAAAAAATTATCAAGGGTACATGCATACATTGTTACGGAAGCAAGACATTTGTAGATAACTTACGCATTGCATAACAAGAAAAATATAACTCAGTTGAACCACATTGTCCATTGGCCTCTTGCCCATGGGAAATTTGACGTGGGAAGTTAACAAAAGGCCTAAGATCAGTAAACATGACTACGATCTACTTTCCTGGTAACACTGTGCTTTGATTATGATAAACATGTTACATTGAAACACAGGCACGTGTTTATTTAAAACTTACAGGACCATTGGTGTTGGGAAAAAACGGTGTTCTACTCCACGTCACAACCAAAACCCATTTTGCCTGGAAGGAAGATAAAGGCATTCCACCAAACTGTCGGACATCAGATGTGGCCTTATTAAGTGTTGTAAAGTCATTATAGGTTTTGTAGTATACATATCCTCCGTTGCTACCTAGTGGATATAAATCCGTCCAGTATGGCGCTATATGAGGGTTAGTTGACGACCGTGGCGGTGTATAAGATGAGTCTCCATTTTCAAAAGTGAGAAGGCCATTAGTACTAAACTACAAATATTCAGATTCCAAGCAAATCTTAAATTATGAAATTAATAAATACTTGCAATCTGTGCTTCTATACTAATACTTACGTATACTTTATAGTAGGTATGGCCTCCAAATGGAATCCCATTGTAAAAGTTAACTAATGTATGGGTGTCGTCACTAACCAAAGTAGCTCCTTCAATGTTATATGAATAATAGGCTTCTGTAAATGAAAACATTAAACAAACGTTATTTTTTAAATTTAGTAATAAGTATCTAAATCTTATAAGGTTTGGTCCTTGGATTTGCGTGCAATAAATTCGTTTCCTGTTGTCAAGGCCTTCCCTTCTTGTAAAAATTCTTTAGTGGCACAGAATAAATCGTTGAATTTTTAACACAAGTAACCACACTGTTCTGCTTATACTTTAGACCACCTCAGGTAGGGAATAGTATGAGGCGCCGTACTGGTATTTCTTGCTATTTAGTGATTACAACATTGTCTTTGTTTGTAAGGCTCATTATCTTAACTGTATTTTAGTGGAGCTGTGCTTTAATTCTGCAAGCTGTAATCCAAATTATACCCATACATTCCCTTTCTAAGGAGAAAATTCTTCAAAATCGTATGTCAGTTTTCAATATTTTTAATATTTCCAACAATCAAAATGAATTTGAATATCCATACCTATACTGGATTCCTAAACTTCATAAAAATTCTTACAAAGATACAAAGCGTGTACCAGTAAATGTTCTATCAAGCCTCTTTCTTTACTCCTCACTAATATATTAACAGCAGTGAAGAAGAAACTTCAGGAGTGCTGTGCAATAGTATATTCGAGAAATGATGTAAATCAGATGTGGATACCTAAAAAACTCCAAGGAACTTTCAGAAAATTTGAAATCACAAATTTTTACCAAAATCAATAACAACAAAACGTACGACTTTTCAACAATTTATACAACCATTCCCCACAATAAAGTAACGTCTAGGCTTTTTGACATCATAGACAGCTGCTTTTTCAATAAAAATGGTACTCGTAAATTTACTTACCTTGTCATTGGTCATTTGCTAAATTATTTTGTAAAAAAAACCATTCTGATTGTACACACAAGTACTCTGAAGTAGATATTAAAAAGATGATTGAGTTTCTGATTGACAATATATACATGTATGTAGTTTTGGAGATCAGGTCTTCCAACAATCTGTCGGAGTTCCCATGGGTACTAATTTTAATTGCGCCCCGTTTTAGCAGGTCTATTTTTGTATTCATACGAAGCAGAATTTATTCTAAAATTTATACATGAGGAGACGACGTATTATCAATTAACAATAGTTACTTCCATTCATATGTCGACTCGATATATCCCATTGAGCTTGAAATAAAAGATACCATAGAGTCTGACACATATGCTTCATACTGGATATTTTAGTAGAAAAAGACGTTTATGGTAACCTAACAACAAAACTTTATGATAAACGTGATGACTTCAACTTTTCAATCGTCAACTTCCCTTATTTATGTAGCAATATACCCAATTCAAAATCTGAGTAGGTGATATCACCTATTCGAATAGGTAATACCACTTATTGATATCAAATACCAAACGGCCCCTCATAGAACTGTGATGCATTGGTCACATAAGAATCAGTTACCATGTAACAGTGAAATGGAAACAATTTTCTGTGAAATCTACTACATTATATCAAAAGATGAACATAACATTGAACAATAAGATACAATTATGTTTTAAAATACTGAAAAAAAACTAAGCATATTGAGACTTCAACAAATAACTTAAGCATCAAATGATAACAATTTGGATAACTAAGAAAGAACTTACTGCCGATTGAAATGAATGGAAGCAACACAACCCACAGGTATAGCAGTCTGGTATACATGATGTCGAACGTGCACAATGACTCTTTCAAGAGAGGACTCTATTAAATGTCTGTGGAAAAACATCAACAAAACTTAACTGTGATAAAACTAAAAGTCTCTACAATTTCAATTGACCTGAAATTCAACATGTAACCACGTTTGTTCTCAGTTTGTCTTTTTAACAGAAAAAAAAACTGCGTTTGGTAAAAACAAACAAGGGTATAAGAGAAGATTAGGGGTTTCCATTAAATTCCCATTGATTCTTTGAATTGCAAAATGATACATCATCTTGAATTTCATAACCCCTAACGATGATTTTTAGAAATTTATTTAACAGTTTTGTTTTGCACACCTTTTGTTTGCTTTAGATCAGCAAAATTACGTGCTACAGCAGATAAGAGTAACCTAAGATTTAAACTTGCCTATTTATATAGAGTTTGACATTTTATATGAAATAGGGTACCTGTTTAACTGCACACTTTGAGAATGGACTACATATTTTATTCTACCTGTGCTTGCCAATGAGTAAAAGTGTAGCAATAATCTTAGTTGCCACCTACAAAAAAGTGATTTGTTCCATCGTAAAAGTATTTTTATTCTAGAGTTTAGTGCATGAGCACCATGCAGTTGGAGTATGCATGTCATAAAATAGTGTAGTATGCATAAAATTAAGAACCCTCTATACACTGCACACTAAAGAGTTCCAATTCCATGATATTTTATGCAATTAGAGTGATCTGCCCTTAGATCCAAAATTGAATAAATTAGAATCTAAAGTTTTTTACTCAGTTTTAATCAATTCAAGCAGCTCAGTTCACCAACAGTTCATTGTGTATGAATATTTTTCTAGGGGGGTAAACGGAAGGTACCCTATGTTGAAAATTAAATGAATACGCTTCATATTTACATCTATATTTGATATTATTTTATCAGCGTCCAAAAAACCCCATTTTTCATTGGTTCTTAAAAAAAACCAATGAAGTATTCACTCATCCAGTCAATAATTTTCGATTTCAGTGTTCTTACAATCAAATTTTTCTTTAAAGTTATTAAGAATCTGTTTCTTCGAGCTGATAAATAAAACCAGTACGTGTAACTTGAAACACATACATGTAAAAACACATATTTGAAATACATAAAACAAGATATAGGCTAGATATCATTGATTGTGAAACTATTCCAAATTATCTCTTGATATGGTAAATATAAGAACAAAAGTTTTAAATACGTAAAGTAATTTATACATTTAAGCTAGCGAATATTGTTAGATATATTCATTATAAAACCATTCCAAATTATATCTGTAAAATGCATGTACAGATTTATTGTGAGATCACATTAAAAATACATGTAGCTGCTCCTTCAGTGAACCAGCCATGCAATAAAATACTATTTTACGTATTTTGTATCAATGAATCTCAAGTACCATTTGGTACAAGGTTCATAAAATAGCAGTTAATGTTGCTTGTTCAGTCCACTTAAAAAGAGATTAAATAGACATTTTCAATGACATCACACGAATCAGTACCTACATAGTATACCCCCCCCCCAAAAAAAAAAAACCCCACAAAAATGGAGCTTGAGGTTACCGATGGAGTGTAGGATTTCATTTACTTCATGACAATAGCTCTTAATATTAGAGAGAACTAGCTAGCAATATGAAATAATATTTTCAAAGTATATTTAGTTTAAATCTTCTTTTATTCTATACTTATTAATTAACATAATGCTGTCTAATTTAATGTGATGGAAATAAGAAAATAGGAAAGATCAGAAAGTCTGATGGCTATGAGATGACGTACTCTTCCATTACTAATCAATTTCACAATTACCAAATACCTGCAAGTTGGCTCATTTACGATCCTAATCAAAGATATTCCCGTTTAATTAACAGAACTAGAGACTTCAAAGATATCATCCACTGGGCATTGTGTATCATATTATTAGATTTTAGGATCCTATTTCTTGTTTTTGACGACGAATGACGCTTCATGCTTCGGGCCTGATAAGCGATTCTTCTCCATAAATACGTTCCTCATATCTGCTCCCCTGCAATGCCAAAACCAAATATTGATGACCAATTTCGTTCTTAAGGTATCGTTCTAAACATCCGGTATGATAGCGGTGGTGTTTAATTTATATACCTTAAACTGAGCTGTTTAAATGTCTGTCTTTTAAATTTCTGTGAAGGTACAAGTGTCTTTGTATAACATAATCGGTGCACGTTTCCCTACTTCTTGACTCGTTTTCTTATATTTGACACATATATATTGTGATTTGATTTGTGTTGTAATTATAAACACCATCTGAATAAGAATTCAAAACCTTTTATTCCGAACTAAACATATATACAATTCTTAACTTCAAGAAAATTAAGGCATTCCTCTCTGAGCAAACATTCTTTTTCTATTTTTTTTTTATAAACCCGTTTACAATCAGGATACCCGTCATAATTGAATCAATAAATATAGGTCATGTGACAAGGCAGATAAAATCATATTGAACCGACAGGTATGGAACGTTGCAATTGCCTTATGTGGATAACATTCATGTTGTGATGATACTTCAACTCTTTTTCTTTACATGCTGTTAGCTTCTTCATTATTTGCTTATTTTTTGTACGAATTCATATACTGATACTTCATTATATGATGAAACTTTGATATCACGTGTTGATGTATGTACTTTTTCATTACATAATAATACTTTGTCTATATATGCAGATTATTTTCAAGATTAAATTAAATTTTATCTTGATACTTTGTTTATTATATGGCCGATACTTTTTCATTATATAAGTATGACCGGCCAATAGGAACAGACCGAGACAATTTTTTTCCTAGACAAGCAAAAGTAAAAAAACAAAACAAAAAACATCGATAGTTATTTATGAGGCATATTCTAATTATCCTTGATTTCTATTATATAGTATTTATTGCCAAAATGATTTAGGGGCACACCATTCCTGATTGTACTTTGACAATGTATTCATTGTACTGAAACTTTGATGATGCTGATATTTTGACATTATATGCTGATACCTTGACGTTATATGATGATGATATTTTATAATGTGGTGAAATTTAAACCTAAACTTCTGGTGGGCTCATTTCAGAAAGTGTGAAAACATGTTGCTTATATAAGACAAACTACATATGCAACATGTTTATGAATACACAGGATATTGTTTCTAAGCTATTTTCAACGAATTTGAAGCCTTTTGTATTTAAATGTACCTGAAATGATGTTATTAGAATCGATTGTGTTTGGTATGGTGGTTTTCATCCAAACAGAATTCAGGGTAATGTAGGAGCACCCATATTTGATTTCCCTCCTTAAAATGTTTTTCAGGTAACTGACATTACCAAAGTCTTATTAATATCAGATATAACTATTTATCGCAGTATGACACTTTTTTAAACAATTGTCTAAACACTATACACTAAAATGTTCTAATTGTAGGGTTAGTTTTATGTAGTTAGAGTAATCTGTCCTTAGGGGTTAGATAGAATAAATGTGAATCTAAAGTTAGTGACATAATTCATAATGAATTAAAGTATTTTTAACATTATATTAGATCAAGAGTAAGTAACTGATAATTGTTTCAATTAATTTTCCCAATGTAAGTCAACATTAGTGATT